CAATCGGCCCTGCTGGGGACTGGGCAGGACCCTCTCTGGGTGCTCAAGTGCAGGGGCATTTAGCCACCGGCCCCTGGAGGCTGATGGGGGTTGACTCCCAGCCACCCCCCCACCTGCTGGAGTGCACACTGGGGAAGGAGTCGCAGCTGCCCAGATGGGGGGCTGCTGTGGGGTCACAGGGGGTTGGGTGGGGCACCCGCTGCCCACGGACCTCCTGCCCTCCTGATTCCAGCAGGCAAATGCCTGAGCACCAACGTGGAGGCGGGGTGGGGGGCACGACCATGCCCGGTCCCCCCCCCCTTCCCGGCCACACGCCTCCAGCAGAGCACACAACTCTGTTCCCTCCGGGAAATGGAAAAGGCCTGGCTCCTGGATCTCCTCTGCGTCCCACCAGCCCCCTGCGGATTGAAGTCAGACTCCAGGGAGGACTTCCAGGCACTCAGGCTCTGGGAGAGAAGGAATGAGGGCTCTGTCCTCAGCTTCCCCCAAGGTATCAGCTCTCTTTCCTTCTCCCCTGCCCCCAGCCCCTGCCCTCTCTCCCTGCAATTTTCTCCCCGGAGGTGGAGGAAAGGAAATGTCATGGATGATGGATTGAAAAGGGGCAGCTGGGGTCAGCAGAGGAGAGACCACAGGGCCGGAGGGGAGGAGGAACAGGAGGGGGAGGGGGAGGGGCCGCAGAAGCAAACAAACGGAGATGGAGACTTAAAAACGCAACGCGGAGGGAGCCGGGAGGGAGTGAACGTGGGCCAGGGATGGTGCCGGAGGTTGGAAGTCGTCCTCCGGCCTAAAAGCGGCACACAAAGCCGGGGAGAAGGGCCGCCTGGGACGTGTGGAGAAAAAACAGAGATTAAAAGGCCTTGGGGCCGACAGTGACAGTCAGGACCAGAGCAGGGTGAGGTGGGGGACGGGGCCTCAGGGAGACAGGGGCCCAGGGCTTGGGCCCAGAAAGACTCAGAGACACAGAGAGAAAAAGATGGAGGGAGAGACACGGGAGACAGACAGACGGACAGACACACAAGCCCCTAAAACAGGAAGACGGGGGTGGGGAAGAGGAGGAAGATCGGGAGAAGGAGGAAGAGGAGAGACCCAGAGGCACAAAGAGAAGCTGGCAGAGGAAGACAGACTCGGGGAGGGACAGGGGGACAGGGGGACAGGAAGGGAGGGGGCTGGATGCCCCTCCCCCACCCGGGTCAGGCAGGTCCTCCCGGGGTGGCCTCCCCCAGCCATGGCTAATGGTATGATTGCTTGGCAGGGCGGCAGGCAGCGGGTGACAAATGAGCCGGCTGAGTCGCCGGCTCCGGTGATGGATGGCCTGGGAGGCGTGTGGAGGGGCGGGAGTGGGGTGGGGGGATCCCACCAAGATAAATATTTCCTCCTCCCGGCCTGGGGACTGGGGCAACGTGTCCACGGAAGGTCTGGGCGGCAGGTAGGGGCGAGAGGGGCAGAGACAGGATGGCAGGAACCCTGGGCCTGAGGCAGGGGTGAGGAGGGACACAAAGGCCTGGAGACAGAGGTCCCCAGAGAGGGTGGCGTGGGGGGCGGGGGAGGGAGAGAGTCAGAGAGAGAGTGACATGGGGAGATGGAGGGGTACAGAGACACAGACAGACTGAGGCAGAGAGAAAAAGATTCAGTGACAGGCACAGGAGACAGACAGACACACACCCAAGACAGAAACAGGGACCTGGAAGGCCCCCCACGTAGGATGCGCCGGAGCAGAGATGCAGACCCTGGACGGAGGGCGGAGGGCGACCTGATGATAGAGGGGAAACTGAGGCAAGGGCCCGCAGGACCCAGAGAGGAGACAGGAGGAGCCTGAAGCCACTGGGACCAGATCCTGCAGGTCCCTGGGGATTGGGGGTGGGGGGTGGGGACAGAGGTGAACGAGAACGCCTGCCAGGGCCACCCAGAGGTCTGCAGCCCCGCTGGGGGGGCACCTGTGCTGGGGAGACCTGGGACATCCCCCAGCTGTATTCGTAGAGAGCTCGCTGGGGTGGGTAGGGGTGGGTATGGCCTTCCTACACACATGGGGGCGGGCAGCTGGAGGGTGAGACCCCTCCCAGGGCCCCGGGCTCATCTGGGAGTCCCTTCCTGGCACACAGGGGCCCCCAACGCCACCCTCACAGACGCAGCCACCCTGGGGTCAGCAAACAGCGGACCCAGGCCTGGGCCCCATCTGCTCCCTCACCTGGGAGCCCAGGGTCTGAGGGTTCGAGGACCATTTAAGGGAGACAGTGCATCCGGGCAGAGGGGGCCTGAAGCCAGAGAGAGACAGAGATGGGGCCGGCCTCTGTCACAGACAGACAGACAGACAGACAGACAGGGGCGGGGGTGAGAGAGCCCGCTGCCCCTCCCCTCCTCCGCCCTCCAGCCCCTCGCCTTCCCCGTCCATTTTTCTCCCAGACACTCGGGTTTTTTTCCCTTTCCAATGTCTCGCTCTTCTGTTTAATTAAAGAGATGTACGCCTGAGAGTCCAAGCCCCTCCTCCTTATTTGGGGGGCGGGAGGGGCCTTCTGCACTCAGAGTAGTGGAAGGAACAAGCTTCCCTCCCCCCAGACCCGGCCCCACTTAAGGCACAGTCACCTCTGTCCCTCTGTCCACTGACCCCTCACTGGCACTCAGGCCACACTTCTTGTTTCCAGAATCAGCCTGGGTGAGGGGACCTCAGTGGACCCCCCCCAGAACCCAAAGTGAGGCTGGGGGCCCAGACCCTTTGGTTCCCCACCCTGAACCTCCCTCCGCTGAGGGCCTTGGTGGGGGGGGACACACAGGAGAGCTCTGCATCTTTAATTAAAAAGTGATTTAAATTAATTTTCTGCTCCAAAACCCCTATCTGGGAGGCGGGGTGCCGGGTGCCTGTGGCAGCGATTAAAGGGCCCCCTTCCCCTCCACCTTCCTTAAAGGGCCAGCGTCATCTATGGGACAGCTGCATACAGGAGCTTCTGGGGGAGCGCCAAGGGCCCCCCAGAGTCCTGGGACCCGCTAGTGTCACTGGTTCCCCGCCAACCCCTCAACCCAGGCCCATCGCTCATGCAGCAGATGGGGAGACTGAGGCTCGGAAAGACCCGGCCTGGCCCCGCCCACAGCCCCCCACAGCCCCCTTCCCACGGGACATCGCCCCCATCCTGACCTCAGCCCCTGGGGCTGCGCCTCCAGCCCGCTGACCCCTGCCCGGGCCTGGGCAGTTTTGTTTAATCTACACCAGAGGAGAGGATGACGGGGGAGCAGGTTGCCGAAGAAGTAGAGCTGTTTATGAGGGTCGTAAAAATACCCTTAGAGCCCAGCAGGGGGTGGCGCACTGCCTCTCACCGCCTGCTCAGCCTCCGCCCCCCTCCACCACTCCGGTCGCTGTTCCCTCCCTCAAGCTCCTGTTCTCTTCTCTCCGGACCATCGTCTCCCTTCTCTTTGGCGTTGTCTCTCTGCAGTGATGGCTTGTAACATCTGGGGGAGAGGGGTCAAGTACCCCTTTGTGAAAATAGGATGAAGACTATAGGCCACCTTCCTGGGGGAACCCAGAAGCACCAAGCCCGCGGGTGTCCTGGAGCACATTGGCATCACCCCCCCACACACACACACACCCCAGGAATCCGAGGGCATCAGAGGGCAAAGACCCGGAGCTCTTCTGCCCCTCCCCCGCCGTCCCAGGCCCACGGGGTAGAACACCCCAGACACATTCCTGCCCCGGGGCCTTTGCACATGCTGTTCCCCCTGCCCAGCATGATCTTCTGCCAAATTGGCCTGGCTCCCTCAGCCTCTTTAGGCCTCTGCTCTGATGTCACCTCCTCTGAGGACCGTCCCCATCATCCCCTTGTCCTCACTCTGTCTCCGTAGGCAGGCATGGTCTTATACTCACCCATTTACTGACCTCACTGCTCTCTTGCTACCCCCTCCCCAGTACAATTCGAAGGCCAAGAGGTCAGGAAGTTTGCCTTTTGTTCCCTGACGTGCCCCCCAGAACACCACCTGGCACACAGTAGGTGTTCAGTAAATTTCTGTTGCACAGATCTTTACCTCATTAGAACACTAGTTTCGAAGGCCGTTGCAGCCTCATCCAGAAGCCGGATGAAAGCTGCGGACCTTCTCTCCCGCATCTTTGTAGCCAGTCACGTCACGCACCCTCAGTGTTGGGGACTCCCCAAACTCCCAGAGGAGACTGTCCCTTAAGAACCTTCTCAGGGGCAGGAGTCAAAAGTGGACACACACCTGTGTGGACACAGTTCCAGGCTGACATTCCTCAAACTCGGGCACCCCACCCCCCTCACTCACCCCGCGTCCAGACAGAAGCAACGCACACACACACCCAGGCCTGGTCAGACGACCAGATGCCCAGACACAGCTGGACACACACACACAGGTGGCTTCCAACACAGGTGCAAGGGTGTCCTTGTCCCCAGGGCAGGGTAGTTAGGGGGGCAGAGCAAGAACTAAAACACGGGGCTTTGGTTACTTGCAGCCTCTGGTTGTCTCCTGCCTCACAGTGGGAGAGAACAGAGAGGGGGGAGGGGCAGGCCGACGGAACGGTGGTGGGGGGACCCCCGTAGGAGGGGGGGCGGGACGGAGGGGGGCAGAGATGTTTGGGGCAGGGATGGGAGAGACAGGGACAGAGAGAGAAAGAAACGGAGAACAAGAGAGAGAGAGAGACACCATGTAGAAAAAGAAGGAATCAAGGAGGCGAGGGGCGCAGAAGGGCGTAGCGCGCGGAGGAGGGGGAGGGGGACAGAGGGACGGAGACCTGTGGCAGCGGAGGGGGAGGCCGAGAAGACCCGGGTGGCGGGGAGCGGGCAACGGGAGAGGAGGAGGCGGGAGGGGCGGGGAGATCAGACTCCGGGAGGCTCGGATACAAAAGCAGCCTCCACCCCCGGAGTGGGGGGCGGGGCGGGGGAGGGGGCTCGGGAGGGGGGAGGAGCGGGGGCTCCGGCGGCGGCCGCCCCGCCCAGCCCCCGCGCCCCGGCGGACAGCGGGTTAAGCATCTCCGATGTGGAACTTCCGGATGTGACCACAGAGAGAGGGAGAGACCGGGAAGGGGGAGCGGGACCGCCGGGCCGCCAGCATCCCCCCGGGCCGCCCGCGCCGGACCCGCACCCGCGCGGGGCGCCCTCCGCCCCCGTCGCCCCGGGCCGGGCCACCTCCTCACCCCGTACCCCATCCTTCGTCTCCCGGTCTGTTTGTCTCGGGCTGGTTCCGTCCTCCCGGGACCGGGAACGCACCGGGGGCCCCGGGGAGGGGGCCTGGGGAGGCCCTCCCCGCCGTCTCGCCCCTTCCCTCGCCGGCATGAGCCCCCGGCTGTGACCCCCGCCGGGGGGAGGGGGCCGGGGGTCCATGCTCGCAGCCTCCGCACCGCCCGGCGCCTGCCGCTGACGGCGGCGGGGGTGGGGGGGCCGGGCACCCAGCCTCCTGCCCCACCCCCTGGCGTCGGCCCCGCGGGCCGTCGGGGGCCGCTGCCCCCGGCTGCGCCCTGCCCGCCGGCCAGGCCCTGGAGGCGCCCCGGAGCTGCCGCCGGCATCAGCCCATGGCCCGGAGGGTAGGTCCGAGGGCCCGCACCCCAGTGCCCCAGCCCGCCTTCGCCTCCCCCTCCTCCGTCCCCGCCCCCGGAGCTGTGGTCCCGGGTCGCCCATCGCGCCCTCCCCGCCGTCCCCACCTTCCCTCTCCTCCTCCCTCTGCCTGGCCCTCGGTTCCCCCCACTCTACCCCTCCATCTCTCCCTCCACCGCAAGCCCTTTATCTTACCCCCCCCACTTCCTTTTCTGCACCCCCCCCCCCCATCCTTCTCCCTGCTCTACTTTTGTTCCAAGTCCTCCGAGGGGTCAGGGCAGGGACAGCGCAGGGAGAGGTGGGTCTCACCAGGCAGGGCCCCTCCGCCCTGGGGATGGGCCGGAGCGGAGGAGACAGGCTGGCTGGGAGGAGGTAAGCAGGCACCTTGGGGGGTGGAGGGGGCAGAAGCTCCGAGACGCGAGGATCGCGCCGACAGACACCGTAGGGTGTGCGACGAACAGCCAGGAGCGGTCGCTTGCAACTTCAGGGCTCAGGAGAAGTTGGGAGGAGAGGAAGTGAGCGGGCAGAGGCAGAGAACGCAGAGCCGGCGCGCCTCCGCGGAGGGGCCGCAGCGGCCGGAACTCTGCGCTGCTCCTTCCACTCCCTTTGCCGCTTTAAGCCTCAGTGTCTTCACCTCCAAGGGAGGGGGTTGGCCTAGGCGACTGAAGGTCCCCGGGCTGCCCCAGCGCCTGAGCCTCCCGGGTGGCCGGATCCAGAAACCTTGCCCGGAGGCCCGTGGTTTCTCTCCGGGACTGTTTGCAAAAGTGGGCTTCTGCGGTTGTGGCTTTTTTTTTTCCTGTCGTTCCACAAGAGTTTATTGAATGTGTGCCAGGCACTGTGCTAAATGCCTCATTCATTCATTTTACTCGAGTGCGTGCTCCGTGTCTCGTTCATTCATTCCCTCATTCATTCATTCCTGCGCCCGATGGCGGGCTCTGCTGCGTGTGTTGGACCCCCCCATGGTGAGGGGGATGGGCGGGTTGTGCGTGTTTGAGAACCTGAGTGAAAGCGAAGGCGGGGAGACTGTGCGTGTACATTTGTGTACAAACAATGCGTTGCTTTTATGGGAAGCGTCTATGGGTGGAAATCGCGCTCTTCCGCCTGCCCGCCTCCGCCTCCTGTGTCTTCGCCCCCGGTCTCAGCGCATCACTCTGTGTCCTGACTCTTTCTCTCGCTGCCTTTTTTCCATCGCTCTCACCATTTCTCTCTTCTCTCTATCCCCAACCCCTCTGGCTTTCTCCCCTTTTTCCTCCCGTCTTCATTCTTTTTTTCTTTTAATATTTTATTTATTAAAGAGAGGGGAAGGGAAGGAGAAAGAGAGGGAGAGAAACATCAATGGGTGGTTGCCTCTCATGCGCCCCCCACCTGCCACCTGGCCGGCAACCCAGGAATGTGCCCCGACTGGGAATCGAACCAGCGGCCCTTTGGTTCACAGGCCGGCACTCAATCCACTGAGCCACACTATCCAGGGTTCCCTTTCCCATTCTGTGAGGGGCTGGCACATACCAGCTGGCAAATCCCTGACCCTCAGATCAGAGACCTGGGTCTGTCTCTCCTCTCTGGACCTTCCTGCCCACACCTCAGGAATCTCTGTTGGGTCATAATGTCACCGTGCAGGGGTGCGAGAAAGGGTGCTCAGTCCCACACAGCTCCGTGGGACATTGAGGGGGCCGAGGGCCACTTGTGGGGCAGAAGGGCCAGTTCCTGCAGCAGGGAGAAGGAGTCTCTTGGGTCCCGGCCAGTGCTGATGCCTCCCTGGGGCCCTTCCCCCTCTTGCCTCTCCCCAGTACAATGAGCTGCCCCACTACCCAGGCATCGCGGATGGCACTGCAGCCCTGGCTGGCTTCTCGGAGGCAGCGCCTCCAGCACCCAGAGCCCCTGGGCCCTACGGCCCACACCGGCCTCCGCAGCCCCCACCCCCTGGCTTGGACGGGGACGGCCTGAAGAGGGAGAAGGATGAGATCTATGGGTGAGTGGGGACCAGGCTGAGGCCCTGTGGGGTCTCACAATGGGAGCCTCTCTCTGTTTCTTTGTCTCTCTCTGACTCTGTCCCCACTCTGGGCCTGTCTTCCCAACTCTTCCCTCCCATCTCCTGTCCCCCCCCCCAGTTGCTCCACGTTTCAGAGACCCCTGCCCTCCCCTCCCCTCCCCTCCCCTCCCCTCCCCTCCCCTCCCCTCCCCTCCCCTCGTGAACTCTCTCCCCTCCTGCTTCCTGCAGGCACCCGCTCTTCCCGCTGCTGGCCCTGGTCTTTGAGAAATGTGAACTGGCCACCTGCTCACCCCGGGACGGGGCTGGGCTGGGCACACCCCTGGGCGGTGACGTCTGCTCCTCCGATTCCTTCAACGAGGACATCGCCGCCTTCGCCAAGCAGGTGGGCACCCCCACCTGTCACACCGCAGGACAGCCAGGGAGGAGGGCGGGCGGGAGACAAGCTGTGCCCTCCTTGGCCCCTCTCTTCCTCCCAGGTCCGCTCCGAGAGGCCCCTCTTCTCCTCCAACCCAGAGCTGGACAATCTGGTGAGACCTGGGGCTGCCTGGGGGACTCATGTTCTCAAACTATGGTAACGGTTACCCATTTGCAATGCGGCGTGGCCTAGAGTTTGCGAATGCAGACCGATGGCCCAAGTTCGAATCCCAGTTCTCCACATCCTACCTCTCTGAACCAGGACATCTCCCTGTGGCTCAGTTTCCTCACCTGTAAAGTGCAGCTAGTAGTAATTTCTACCTCGTAGGACTGCTGTGCAGATTTAATGAGTTAACGGGAGTCCAGCGCTTAGAATGGTGCCTGGCACAGACTCAGTGAGCATTAGCTGTGCTACCAGGAGCTCACACAAGTGCAGGGACTTGGCTGCAAAGGAGAGAGGAGAGTGAGAGAGAAGAGAAGAAGGGGGAGGAGAGGGAGAGGGAGGAATGCCCTGGCTCTTTTCCTTTTCTTGCTCCCACAGGGCTTCCCATTGGCTGAACCCTTTGACAAAGGCCTCTGGGAAATGTAGTTTGCAGGTGAAGGGTGAGAAACGGAGCAGAGGGCAAGCAGGCAAAGGCGAGAGATTAGGGTAGCTGACCTGTGTTCATTCTCGTGATGGATGCTTTTCTGTCCCTTGTACCTCTTGCTTCTCTGTATTTGTCTCTGGCAATCTAACCCTCTGCTCCTGGGATCTCGGGTCCCTGCTTCTCTCTGGCCCTGTCTCCTTGTCTCTGTGTCTCTCTGTTCTTGTCATTTTGTGTCTCTCACTCTTTCTGTTCCCCTGTCTCTTCTCTTCCCTCCTTTCTCCTCCTCCTCCTCTTCCTTCTTCTCTCTCTTCCTCTGTCTCTCCCCCTCTCTCCCCTCCTCTGCCCCTTCCTGTCCCTGTTTTCAGATGATCCAGGCTATTCAGGTGCTCCGGTTCCACCTGCTGGAGCTGGAGAAGGTGAGTGCTTCTCACTTCCCCCCACACCCTCTCTTGCCCTTTAACCCTTCCCCTTTCGCCCCTCCACCCCCCTCAGGCTCTCTCCCCACCGGAGTTGGAGCAGAATGCCACCCCTGTTCCTGTACACCCCAGCCCTGGCCCCCGGGTGGCCCCCCCAGTACCCCGGTGCCCCCTCAGGTCCACGACCTGTGCGACAACTTCTGTCACCGCTACATCACCTGCCTCAAGGGAAAGATGCCCATCGACCTGGTCATCGAGGATCGGGATGGCGGCTGCAGGGAGGACCTCGAGGACTACCCGGGCTCCTGCCCCAGCATCCCAGACCAGGTGGGCCCTGCAACCAAAGCCATTCTGGACAGCTGGGTCACAGCGTGGGGGGACACATATTTGCACACACACACGTACCCTGACAGCTGAAGATACCACCACGGACTCGGCTGCACGCACACAGGTTCACGCACAGCTGCACAAATAGCGGCAGCTGTTCTCACTCGTGGCCAGCTGCCAGCATGCACCACACACCTAAACACATGCATCCCAGCTGCATAACAGCATCAGAGACCACACAGCCCGATCAAGACACCGTCATTCCAGAGAGTGTGTGTGTTGCACACACATCCATAGCACCGATGCAGACTGAGACAACTGGCTGCAGACCCTGCCACACGGACCAGACACAGCCGCCCTCAGACCCAGGCTGACCACAGAGCCTGTGCACGCACATGCCACCCTGACCCTCTGATTGCAGCGGGTGTGCGCACATGCCCTGCCACTCAGCCTCCGATACAGTCAGACTACAGTCTCAGCAACAACCGCACAAACGACCCAGCTGTGCAGATCCCAGCGAGGACCACACCCTCAACCCTGCCAAACTGTCAACTCTTCCAGCGTACGGTATACTCCCTCGCCAGTGACAGGCGCACTGCTCCAGCCACACACTATAGTCAGACGGGCCTGCGGACCCTCGGCTCACAGCCCACCATACACTCCCCCTCGGGGAGAGCCACATGCATGTGAGCGTCGGTCACAACTCACTTGAAGACACAGCCACATATATTCCTTATCTCCACACTCCCGTGGCCGGCAGCCACCCAGCAGTCTCACTGTCTCACAAATAGGACAGTCCCTTGACCCACAGCCGCACAGTCTGCAATAGTCAGCTACAGCCTCCTGGCCACCTCAGAGAGTGACAGCCACACTCTAAACACAGTCAGTGCAGGTCTCGGCTCCACCCATGTAGCCGCCTGGCCACGGCCACCTTCTCTGGAGGGACCACCGTGCCACCTTGGGCACAGAGGTAGGCTCCCACTACAAGTCACACGATAGTCTCGGGACAGCCTCAGGCACATCACCACAGAGGCTCGTGCTTGGCATTCGCTTGGACCCCGCACTGGCGCGGTCACAGGTGGCGGTTCCATCCGTGTGCAAAGGCCTTCAGACCCGAGGGTGCTGTGGCTTGCACACCAGCGACCCCTAATGTGCTCAGACCCACAATTCTGCACACAGCTGCTCGGAGCCTGGAGGAGGCCTCGCTGGGCTGCCGTGTCCCGGGCAGTGTCCCAGCAGGACACAGATGGCGGGTCCTGTGGGCAGGGTCCAGGGTACTCATGGAGGCAGGTGGGCACCCTGGGCTCAGGAGGCTGTTTCCACCACCCCACACCCATCTGCCTCCCGACACCGAGCTGAGCCTCGAGCTGTGTGACACAGAAGTCTTGGCGCCTTCTGTATGGGGGGTTGGCCCCCTGGGCGCGGAGCTGGGCGGAGAGTGAGCCCACTACGCCGTCGGGTCCCTCAAGGCGTGTGGATGCAGCGCACACGGTCCGGCCCCCCTGGGCTGCAGTTCTGAGACCCCCACGCGTCTGAAAGCGGAAAGTTGCTTTCTCTCCCCATAAGTTGAGTTCAAACTTGTTCAGCGGCAGAATCTGACCTGAACGAATGAGACGGCTATTTATAGCCCGTATCCATTCCACTGAGTTAACTGTGTGTCCGTTTTGCTGCGGGAATGTTAATGAGCTTGATGGCCAGGTCAGGCCCCAGACCCTGCCCGGGAGGGTGTTCTGAACCGAGTGGCGTGCACAGGACTTACTGTCTAAAAAACGGGACAAGTTCTGAATTCTGAAGTATTTGCAGCCCCCCTGGATTTCAGATAAGGTGCCATAGATCTGTGCAAATTCACCTTTATTGAGTGACTGCTATGGGCCTTTGCGTGAACTAACTCACTGCTCCCAAGCTCTGTGAGGTGGGGGCCATTATTCTCCGCCATTATCCAGTTGAGGAGACTGAGGCTCAGAGAGGTGAAGTGACTTGCCCGAGGTCACACAGCCAGAAAGGAGGCAAGGACAGGCTTTCCACCTGGGAGTCCTCTCGCCAGAGCCCGTGGTCTCAGCTGGTCTCAGCTACTGTGCTATATTGTGTCCCAGGCCTTGGCACTGAATTCCCGATCTTGTTTTCCAGAATAATACATGGATTCGAGACCACGAAGACAGCGGAGCTGTGCCCTTGGGGACCCCGGGTCCATCCAGCGGGGGCCTGGCCTCCCAGAGTGGGGACAACTCCAGTGACCAAGGTGGGAAGCTCGGGAGGCAGAAGGGAAAGGTGGGAGTCAGCATGGGGACTGCAGTTAGACAGCAAGTAGGACTTCCGAGAGAGTGCGGAGAGGTTGTCTTGGGTGGAGGTTCTGGCGCCGTCTGGTCTCCTACCCTCACTGCCCACAAACACTGTCCACGCCCCTCCGCCCTCAGGAGACGGACTGGACACGAGCGTGGCCTCTCCCAGTTCCGGGGGAGAAGACGAGGAGCTGGACCAGGAGCGGCGGCGGAATAAGAAAAGGGGCATCTTCCCCAAGGTGGCCACCAACATCATGAGAGCCTGGCTGTTCCAGCACCTCTCGGTGAGAGCCCGTCACCCCGGGGTGGGTAGGCCTGGAGAGAGTTGGGGCCCTGGCTGGCGGGGCTCAGCGGACTGAGTGCTGGCCTGTGAACCAAAGGGTCGCCGTTTCCATTTCCAGTCAGGGCGCATGCGTGGGTTGCTGGCCAGGTCCCCAGTAGGGGGCGCGTGAGAGGCAACCACACACTGATGTTTCTCTCCCTCTCTTTCTCCCTTCCTCTCTCTAAAAGTAAATAAAATCTTTAAAAAAAAGAGAGAGATGGAGATGTATGGGCACACAGAGACTGAGGCCCAGAGAGACCCAGAGAAGGGAGACTGAGGCAGGGGGATGTTGAAGGGGAATTTCAAGGGGAGGTGAGCACTGGCCAGGAAAAAAAGTCCTGAGTGTCACGTGTGTGCCAGGTGCTGCTGAGAGCTCTTGACCCATTCAGCCCTCCCCCAACCCACCCACCTGCTCATTGGACCACTGGCCCCTCTCCACCCACCTGTCAATCATCCACCATCCAGCCACACACGCTGTGTGAGGGCGGGTCCTATTTTCTGCATTTTGCGGGTGAGGACAGTGAGGCCCAAGGTCTTCGGAGGATTGAATTAGAGCGAGATAGGGACCAGGAGAGACTGAGTCACAGAGACAGGGTGGAGGCCAGGGAGGGGAGGGGAGGAGAGAGAGAGGCATAAGAAAGAAAGAAATGGGGACCAGGAGAGACAGACACGGGGCCTTGACGGACTCAGAGAGGCTGGTGGCTGGGCTTTGCCTTCTTCCCTGGCCCTGCAGCCCTGTCCCCAAGCTCCCGTCTTTCCCGAATGAGAGCTGGCCAATTAGCCTCTAATTGCCGGAGGAGGCGGGGGCGCCCAGGGGCGTAATTGCCCGAGGCTTCGCTCTGCTTCCCTGTGTTGGGCCCCAGGGAGCACGGAGCAGCTCCGCTGTGCGCCTGGGCTCTTCCTGCCCCAGCACCAGCCTGGGCTTGCCATCCTCAGGGACCCCGCGGGCCGGGCCGTGGGGATCGGTGGCGGCCCGGCAGGCAGGGTGACTCTTGCTGATGGCCGCAGCACCCGTACCCCTCGGAGGAGCAGAAGAAGCAGCTGGCGCAGGACACGGGGCTCACCATCCTACAAGTGAACAACTGGTGAGGGACTGCAGAGGCCCTGGCGGTGCGTGGGGAGCGCGGGGTGGGAGGCCAGGCGCTGTCCGTGGTGCTGAAGGAGGCCGCTGAGCCCTCGGAGACCGTCCGCCGCATGCTGTCCTCACCTCCCAGCTCTCTGTCTCTGTGTCCACCTCTCCGTCTCTCCTGCATTTCCATGACCCCCTCCCAGGTTCATTAACGCCCGGAGACGCATCGTGCAGCCCATGATAGATCAGTCCAACCGCACAGGTACAGGGAGGGGGAGGGGAGAGGGAGCCCAGTGCTGCTGGGAGAGAGTCAGAGCCTGGACCCAGGCATCCTGGGGCTCAGGCTGCTCCCTGCAACCCCCTCCCAGGGCAGGGTGCAGCCTTCAGCCCAGAGGGCCAGCCCATGACCGGCTACACGGAGACACAGCCACACGTGACTGTCAGGCCTGCAGGTAAGGCCCCGCCTCTTAACTAAGCCACGCCCCCAGCACACCAGGCCCCTCCTCTAAATACAGATGCCCCACCTTCTGGGGTTATGTTCAAGAATAATGAATACAGTGCCTCGTTTGCATAACGGGAGTAGATTTCGAGGTGCCCACATTTTCCGCACAGATTCTGCTTCCAGGCTCTGCCTGCCCATTTGATGGCTCCGCTTTTCCTTAAAGGACCAGCGCCACCTTAAACGATGACTCAGCCTGGCCCAGTAGAGGGGTCCCCCGAGGGAGAAAGGGGAGAGCCTCGGGGGCATCTGCGGGTGTCCCTTGAAGACCCACTGACCCTCCTCTTTTGTCTTTCAGGACCGATGGGGATGAGTTTGAACCTGGAGGGGGAGTGGCATTATCTATAGAGGCTGGAGTCCGGAGGAGGGTGAGTGTCCATTGCTGCGGGGTGCTGGGGGCGGGGCAGGAGGACCATGCAGGGCTCACACCTCTGTGAGGTCTCCGGCCTCCGCAGGCGACCGCGCAGAGCAGGGGTAGCGTCGCTCCCTGAACTGAGCATGCGCTGAGGCGGGAGGGACGATGACTCATTTCTTCATCCACCCGCCCATCCCTCCATCTGCCTGTGCACACACACACACACCTGACGTGCCTCGGGTAAGGTCTTCTCTTGAGAAGACCCTGGCCTTCTGTGGAAGCGGACACCAGGAACCAGTACCACAGCTGAAACAATAGAACATAGGCTGCTCAGAGGAGGGAGCCGGCCGCCATATCTGAGATATCAGGGAAGCCTTCCTGGAGGACGGGGTTTCTGGGTGGGGCACTGAAGGATGAATAGGAGTCTGTCCAACCAGTAGAAGTTAGGGGCAAAGTAATAGGGCACATTCTTTTCTTCTTCCAGGTCTTAAGGTTTTAGAGTTTCTTCTTCCTTACTCTTCACAACAACCCCAAGAGGGAGGAATTATCATAATTTTCATTTTGCAGATGAGAAAACTGAGGCTCAGAGAGAAGAGGTCAGTTGGGAGGGTTCAGTCAGCTCAGAAAAGCAAAGGGAACAGCAGGTGCTAAGGCCAAGTGTGGAGAGGCTACCTGGAGATTCTAAGTCATAGGTCAGATCTCAACCCGCCCTCGATTAAAACCCTTTTTGGGCTCCCTAGTGCCCTCTGATAACATCGAAACTCCTTAATTCAGCATCTGTTCATTCATTCATTCATTCCACATTCTCTGAGCACCTCAGTGCCTGGCCCTGTGCTGGGTGGTGCTGGGGACACAGCAGTCACTGTGCCAGCCCCACCCTGCCCTCCTGGGGCTCATAACTCAGTGGTGGACACAGACCTGCCCCAGACAGTGATGACCCAGAGTGGGCAGGGCTGGAGTGGAGGAACCCAGAACTGGAGGAGCCCAGAGAAGGCATGAGACCCAGGCTGGGGGATTCGGGAGGACTTCCTGGAGGAGGGGACTTTCGAGCAGAGAACAGGAGGAGTGAGGCAGGGGAGGAGGGAACAGCATATGCAAAGGCCCAGCGCACCTAGAAACCTCGTGGCTGTGAAGACAGCCCCTCCCCAACCCCCACACACGAGGGAGAGAGAGGACTGAGCTGGGCTGGTGAGTGAGGTGAGTAATAAATCCAGGGCCAACACAAAGGCTGGGACATGAGAGGAGACCCAGGAGGGCTTAGGTGTGCGGGGTCAGTGGTGGCCTGAGGCTCAGAAGGGGAGGTGGGTTTGTTTAGAACCGTGCTGGTCAGGTGGGGTCTTCGCTCTGCTCTGAGTGGTCCACACAGGTGTGGCCTGGTCTGAGGGTCAGGAGCAGTGAAGGGGGCCTCCCGCCCTGCTCCCCCCGGGGGCTGTCTTTCCTGTCTCGCTCCCCAACTCTTATCTTTTTCTCTTTGTCTCCCTCCTTGTCTTTCTCCCTTTGTCTTAACTGTGTCTTTATCTCTTTTTTAAAAAAGATTTTATTCATTTATTTTTTTAAAGGTTTTATTTATTTATTTTTAGGAAGAGGGGAAGGGAAGGAGTAAGAGAGGGAGAGAAACATCAATGTGTGGTTGCCTTTCACGTACCCCCCCCACTGGGGACCTGGCCCCTGGCCCACAACCCAGGTTTGTGCCCTGACTGGGAATTGAACCCGTAACCTTTCGCTTTGCAGACCAGAGCTCAATCTGCTGAGCCGCACCAGCCAGGGCTTATCTTCTTTCATCTCTGTCTCTCTCCCTCCATTTGGTTCTCATGCTTTGGCTCCCTCTTTTTCTGTTCCTCCCCCTCTCTCCATCTTCTTCCCTCTCCCTGTGGGGCTGGCGGGGGCTGCACGGAGGGCTGACCTGGGGCGAGACCCTCTCCCACCTCCTCCTGACTTGGCGCCCCCTCCCCTCTCCACAGACTCCAGCCTCCAAACTGTGACCACCGGGCCCACACCTTGTTCCGGTCCCCACCCTCCACGGCCCTCCCACTCAACACCTACCTCCCTGGGGCCCCACCAGGACAGTGGGGGTCTGAGCGCCCGCTCCGGGGTCTCTGAAGGACAAAGACAAAGTCTCTAGACTCTGTGCCCCACTTCTACCCTCGCCTCTGCCCAGAACCCGAGCTGTGATCCCGGGTCATCGGAAGACAGTGGCCCGGACACCCCACCTGCAGGACAGAGATGGAACTGGGGGCGGGCTGGGGCCGTCGTGGGAGGAGGGTCACCCGGATCCGATATTTGGGGAGGTTCCCTTCATCCTCCCAACCCTCTCCCCTCCTCTCTGCCCCTACCTCCCTTCTCTGATGTCTTCTACTTTTTTTTTTAATGATAAAATCTTAAAAACAAAAAGCCACGAGTTGGAATTCTTGTGTCTCTTCTAAGATTTACATTCTCATCTATTCGAAGCTCAGAAATCACTCATTACAATGATAATTAATCCTCTATCCTGATCTGTCCTTGGGCACTTCATGTATCAGTCAGCTGTTACTGTGTAGCAAACAGTCCCCAAATTTTGTGGCTCACAATGCCCACTGGGTTTTTTTTAGTTCATTCAGTGGGGGTAGTTTTTTAAATTTTTTGTTTTTTTTTTTTTTTTATATTATTTAATTAGTGGGTTGGTATTTTAAACTAGTCTCCACTAGGCGGGTCTTGTGGTTTCTTCAGGGCTCTGTTGTGTGTCCATAGCCACGGGCAGATGAGCAAGGGGGCTCTGCCTCTGGGGGTCAGCTTGCTAAGCAGCAGGACCAACAGGAGTGACTGGGCCACATGGTAACATCAGCCAGCAGGCTGCTGGGTTTGTTCGCAGAAAGGCTGACTGGATTCCCAGAGAGCAGGAGGGCCCGGCGCCTCCTGAGTCCCAAGCTCAGATCCGGCACAGGGTCATCTCTCAGCCCCTTAAAGTCTCAAGGCCAGATTCGAGGGAGGGGAAATAGACTTGACCCTCATGGGGTGGGGCTGCAAGCTCACATTGCAAGAGGTGGACACAGGGAGGGATGAAGCATAGGGACCTCTTTTGCATCAGCGCTCCACACTGACTACCGGGTTACTCCCTCCACCTGTCCCTCCAGAGGCAGGTGGGCTGCGCATGAGCAGCCCCACCCCCTGAGAGGAAATCCTGCTTCTGAAACAACAGCTATGGTACCCGGGACGAGTGACTCCACCTTTATGGTTCTCCGTCTCCCCATCTGGAGAGCGGGGATCGTAGCGCCTCCCTCGCAGGTCTGCCGAGCTGCTTATGGAAAGTGTGAGGAGGGAAATGCGGAGAACGGTGCCTGGCACATGGTAAGCGCTCTGTCAGTCGGGAGTCACTGTGACGAGAGAAACTGCAGCCCAGGGCATCCTGGGAAATGAGTGGAAAGCAGAGGAAGCAATCCTGGGACTGGAGGGCCTTCGCCTGTCAATCACTCACTCATTCATTCATTCAGGACACAGGTGTGCCCATACACGCCCTCTGCCTTTCACTTCAGTGAACAAGCCGGAGACCCCCGCCCTCCGGGAGCTGCTGTCCCACCAGTGGGGAGGTGGAGACCTGCAATGGGCGCGTCACTGGGTCTGTTAGAAGCTGACAGGCGGCGCACAGTAGGGCCTGCTTTGGGCCACCTCGATCAGCTCATTTACCCTCATTGCCAGGATCTGTCCTGGGAGCCCCACCCTGCCAACCCCATAAACCCACCACCAAGTCCCAGGAGGTGGGCCCATCACGGCCCCCGCTGCCCAGAGGGGAGAAAACAAGGCCCAGCGACGTGAAGGTGCTCTTGGCGGGGCCTCACAGCGGGAGAGTGTGGGTGTGCGTTAGCGCCAAGATGGCCGGGCAGCTCCGGAGCCTGTGCGCAAACCGTGCTGCTCAACGGCTTCTCATTTTAAGAAATAGAATCTAACACTCTGATTTTTATTTTATTTTTTTTAAGATTTTATTTATTTTTAGACAGAGGGGAAGGGAGGGAGAAAGAGAGGGAGAGAAACATCAATGTGCGGTTGCCTCTCGCGCGCCCCCTACTGGGGACCTGGCCCACAACCCAGGCCTGTGCCCTGACTGGACATCGAACTGGAGACCTCTTGGTTCACAGGCCGGCGCTCAATCCATTACCACACCAGCCAGGGAAAAACTCTGACTTTTAAAGGGCCTAACACAAGATAGTTTCTGGGTTAGATATTGTTTTGGTGACTGCGGTTCCTGTTTATCTCCCCACGCTCCCTAGGATTGAAGTGGGATGGATGAGGGATAGACAGCAGGAAGGACTTCCAGCACCCCCTTCCTTTGAAGGCATGTGAAGATGGGTTCTGGGGAGGGGGAGAGGGCTGGACCCCGGCCTGAGGTCTAGTTCAAGGGGAGGCCAGGGGAGTTCATGCAACCTCTGCCTGCCTGACTGATGGGGGAACCTGGGACGCTGGCAAGTGGGGGAGGGGTAGCTCCCCTCGCCCCACCTCCCCCATTTTCTCTGGTGACTGGAAATGCCTCTCACTTAGTTCTCTATAATTATACCAATTGGATGTGGCTCGGGGTGGAGGGAAATTGGGCAGGAGGTTAATTGTAACTAAAAATACCTCCCCCACTTCCTGGGGTGCGGAATCAGCCAGCTCTGGGGCAGCCTGTGAAGTGGGTGGGCGTCGCGGAGTAGGCGGGGTCTGAGGGAAGCGGGGGACCCCAGCCGGCTCTGCGGGGAGGCCTCTGTACGCTGGGTGGGCAGGGCCGGGCGGTCTTGGGACCGATGTATGTGTGGCTATTGTGTGGTCGCTGTGGCTCCGGACCTGGAAGGCTGGGGGAGGGCTGTCAGGCCAGCGGGCGCCGCCAGGATGTGTCCCCGCCGAGCCTGTTACTGTACGGGGTGCCTGTGTGTCCCTGAGGAATGGCGCGGTCCCGGGCTGGCTGTCACGGTGTGCCCTGTGTGTTCGTGTGCACACGTGTCTGTGACTTGGAGGTTCTGGGCGTTGCTGAGGTGTCCGGGTGGGATAGTGGGGCAGAGAGGGTCTTTATAACTGGGTGCCTCCTTCATGTGTCCACGACAGCGTCCCTCTGTGCAGCTTTGTAGCCTCCTGTCAGTTAGGAGTCTGACAGACAATGGGACTGTGGGTCATCCAGCTCAGATGCATCAGAATGTGGGGCAGGGAATGAGCCTGGGTGCCCGCCAGAGGGCGCTGGGGAGCCATGGTAGGTGTGTGTTTTGGAACAGCTTTACTGAGATGAAGTCACAGATAGTAAAATCCGCCCATTGAAAGTGTGCCGCACGAAGGGGTTAGAATAGTCACGTAATCGTGCGACTGTCACCACGATCAGCTGAAAAGAAAGCTCCCACCTTCAGCAGTCATTCCCCATATACCCCCAACCCCCAAACCCAAACTAGTCCACTTTCTGCCTGCATGGATCTCATTTTAGGCATTTTGTATCAATGGAATCTTACAAAATATGGTCTTTTATATCTGGCTTCTTTCACTTAACATGATTTTATTTATTTTTAGAGAGGAGAAGGGAGGGAGAAAGAAACAAACATCCATGTGTGGTTGCCACTTGAGCGCCCCCTACTGGAGATCTGGCCCACAACCCAGGCATGTGCCCTGACTGGGAATTGAACCAGCAACTCTTTGGTTCGCAGGCCGGCAGTCAGTCCACTGAGCCACACCAGCCAGGGCGACTTAACATGTTTTTGAGGGTTTTTTTTTTTAACTATTTACTTTTTTTTAATTGATTATGCTGTTACAGTTGTTCTATTCCCCCCTTCATTCCCCTCCACCCTACCCCCCATCCCCACCATCACCCCCCTTTTAGTTTATGACCATGTGTCTCAAGTCCTTTAGATTCTATATTTCCCATGCTATTCTTGCCCCCCATCTATTTTCTATCTACTGTCTATGCTACTTATTTTCTGTACCTTCTCCCCCCTTCTCCTCCTCCCACTCCCCCTGTTGCTAACCCTCCTTGAGATCTTCATTTCTATGTTTCCACTCCTGATCTAGCTGTCCTTTTAGTTTGCTTTCGTTTTAGGTGTGGTTGTTAATAACTGTGAGTTTGTTGTCCTTTCACTGTTCATGTTTCTTTAACTTCTTTTTCTTAGATAAGTCCCTTTAACATTTCATATAATAAGGGCTTGGTGATGATGAACTCCTTGAATTTGATCTTATCTGAGAAGCACCTTATCTGTACTTCCATTTTAAATGAAAGTTTTGCTGGATAGAGCAATCTTGGATGTAGGTCTTTAGATTTCATGACTTGGAATACCTCTTTCCAGCCCCTTCTTGCCTGTAAGGTCTCTTTTGAGAAATCCGCTGACAGTCTGATGGGGACTCCTTTGTAGGTGACTGTCCCCTTAGCTCTTGCTGCTTCTAGGATTCTCTCCTTCATTTGAATCTTGGCTAATGTAATTACGATGTGCCTTGGTGTGTTCCTTCTTGGGTCCAACTTCTTTGGGACTCTCTGAGCTTCCTGGATTTCCTGGAAGTCTATTTCCTTTGCCAGATTGGGGAAATTCTCCTTTATTATTTGTTCAAATAAGTTTTCCACTGGTGGCTGTGCCTTTCCCCCTTCTGGTACCCCTATAATTCGGATGTTGGAGCGTTTAAAGATGTCCTGGAGGTTCCTAAGACTCTCCTCATTTCTTTGAATTCTTGCTCCTTGACTCTTTTCTGTTTGGCCATTATTTGCTTTCTTCTGGTCCACTCCATTGATTTGAGTCCCAGTTTCCTTTTCATTGCTATTGGTGTCCTGTGCAATTCCATTCATTTCAATGAGTTTCGCCTTCATATATTTGTCTAATTTGTCGGTATAATCAACCAGTTCTGTGAGGATCCTGATCACCAATTTTTTAAACTGTGCGTCTGTGAGTTTTGCTATTTCTTCATCGCTTAGATTTATTTCTGGGGCTCTGAGATCCTCCTGCGCCATTCTTGGTCTGTTCGGGCCCTTTAAGTGTGAGAAGGGGCGGCTTGGATTCCCAGGTCGCTGGGTTGTGACGCTGTATGTGGGGGCGTGGCCAGAGCGGGGAAATGGCGACCCCCTCTGCCGCTTCTCACAGCTGGGTGCCGAGGAGCAGTGCCTTAGGTGGTTCACCTGGGCGGGGCCACTCAGAGTCGCTGGGTTATGACGCTGTATGTGGAGGTGGGGTCAGAGCAGGGAAATGGCGGCGCCCTCCACTGCCGCTAGCCGTGGGGACCTGCCGGCCTGGTCCAACCGCCCACTCCCTCGCCTGTCCACCCGCACACAAATGCGCGACCTCAGTCAACACGCAGCCCCAGCCCGGCTGTCTCCCCCGAGGTCGCTCGCCTGGTTGCTCGCTGGGTCGCTCACTAGGTCTGACCCTGCGTCTGGATTCCGCGGGCCTGAGTGTGTCTGGCCGAGTCCTCCTGTGCAACCCCGCTCCGCCAGCCACTGGTTTCGCCCCTTACCGGTCAGGCTGAAGAATTTGTTGTTAACGGACTTCCGAAAAGTTCAATTTTCCGTGTTCTGGCTGTGTTTTCTGTTGCTAATATTTAGTTTTCTCTAATCTTGGTTGTGGGAGAAGGCACGGCACATCCACCTATGCCTCCATCTTGGCGGAAGTCCCTTGTTTTTGAGGTTTATCGATGTAGCGTGAGGTCAGTGCTTCATTTCTTTTTATGGCTGAGTAATATTCCACTGTCTTGGAGGGATGTTGAGCAGATGAAGGAGAGTTGGGTTTGTGCTTTGCTCCTTGGGCTGCTCCGTGGAGGGTGGGTTGGAGCGGGTGTTATTGGTTGAACTGTGTCCCCAAAGAGATATGCTGAAGCTCTGATTCCAGGACCTGTGAATGTGACCTCATTCGGAAATAGGTTCCGTGCCAGTTAAGATGACATCCTAAGTCGGGCCCTAATCTGTGTGACTGTGTCCTCATGAAACAGATTTGGATGCTGACAGACAGGCACTCGGACAGAAGGCCATGGGAACACAGAGGACTGCCAAGGTGACGCCGCCACCAGCAAGGGACACCGAGGCTGGCTGGCAAAGCATGGGAAGCTGGGGGAGGCCAGGGAGGACCCCCTACAGGTTTCAGGGGGAGCACCACCCTGTGACGTCTTGATTTGGAACTTCAAACCTCAAGAACTGGGAGAGCAGTTTCTGTTGTCTGAGTCGCCTGTTCAGCGGCCCCTTTCATAGCCACCGTGGGAAACTGGTTCAGGGAGTGAAGGTGGGGCTGGGGAGACTGGGAGGAGCCAGGCGGACACGTGGGGATGTGGGAGGGAGGGAGGAGGAGCTCAGAGCTACTTAGGAAGGCGAGCAGGGAAACAGTATCGGGAGACAGGGCCGACTTTCACAGAGGAGGGCGCCATCAAATCAATGTGTCGCCCAAAGGTCATCAGTGTGCTGACCCCGAAGAGCTCGTGGCAGGTGGGAAAACAGCAAAACACAACTGAAATGAGGACGACTGAGATGAGGACCAAGATTAACAGTTGCAGGTCACCGCTGACCTTGATGGAGCAGTTTCAGTGGGGGGAGGGAAGGGAAAGGCAGAGGCTCAAAAGGGAGGGGACGAGGAGACTAGGAGGTGAGGACTGGGGTGCGCCCTGCGAGCCCGAGGGTGCAGGTAGAAGAGGTCTGTTTTTGGTGAAGCGGGGAGATGACCCCAGGTGTCCTGCATGATCAGCAGGCGGAATGCTGGTTCTTCCCAGGTGATCCCAATGACGGAATGAATGGCTCCGTCATTGTGACCTTTTTGTGACCTTTCACAAAAACTGAGAAAGGTCTTGTTTTTTTAAAGGAAGAAAAGAGAGAAGGAAGAAAAGAAAGGCAACCCTGGCTGCTGTGGTTTAGTGGATTGAGCACCAGCCTGTGAACCAAAGGGTCGCCGGATCGATTCCCAGTCAGGGCACATGTCTGGGTTGCCGGCTGAATCCCCAGTAGAGGTGTGCGAAAGGCAACCACCCGTTGTTTCTCTTCCTCTTTCTCTCTCCCTTCCTACCTCTCTAAAAGTCAATAAAAAATCTTTTTAAAAAGGCAAAAGAAAGGAAGACTTAGGGATTGTCTGGATGCAGTAGGAAAGAGGGAAAGAAAATCTACAACTGAACTTGGATTTCCGCTTCAGCAGTTGTCCCATTTCTCTCTGCTGTCACAGGTGAGTGACTGGCAAGCACATTTGGTTGCGGTTTGGAGCTGCTGGTGGTGAGCGCCTGCAGGTGCCAAGCACTCTCCTGAGCACACGGGTTAATTAGTGCCTTCAACACAACGACTTCATGAGGTAGGACTATTATTATCCCCACTTTGCGGATGAGTTAACAGGCACACAGACTGGGGGCAGGGGTGACAGTGTCTTCCCTGCTGGTTTCTAGCCCTGGACTGTGGTTGTGCAAGATACACACACTGAGCCCAGGCTGGTGTGGCTCAGGGGATTGAGCACCAGCCTACAACCAACGGGTCGCTGATTGGATTCCCAGTCAGGGCACGTGCCTGGGTTGTGGGCCAGGTCCCCAGTAGGGGGCGCACGAGAGGCAACCACACATTGATGTTTCTTTCCCTCCCTCCCTTCCCCCTCTCTAAAAATGAATAAAGTCTTTTTTAAAAAGATACACACACTGAACACAAAAGGTTGCTGAGAGAAATCGAAGAAAACCTTAAATGCATTGTTTTAAAAAGTGAGATGTACCATGTTCATGAACTGGAGACTTGGAAGACCCGCTACTGTTGACATATGAACTTGTCCGTTCTCCCTAAATATCTGTGTGGCCAAGACACTCCCAGCTGGAGCCCCCGCAGGCTTCTGCAGAACTGGACAAGCTGATTCCGCCACGTGCCTGGGAACGCACAGGGCCTAGGACAGCCGCGACCGCTTCGGCCAAGGACAGAGCTGGGGCCCGGCCCCGCCTGACTCCACGACTTGCTATGATGCCACCCATGGCAGCAGGACCAGGGGTGGCTCCGACACACAGGCCAGTGGGCTAAAGCCCAGAAATGCACCACGTGGGTTAGCCCACTGACTTTCACTAAAGGTGGTGAATTAATTCAACGGGGAATGAACAGTCTTTTCAGCAAATGGTGCCGGAACAACCAGACATTAACATGCAGAAGAATGAACCTGGACTCCAAACTCACATCATACATGAAACTCACTGGCAACGTCGTGGGCTTAAAGGTAAAATCTAAACTACAAAACTTCTAGAAAAAAAACACAGAAAAACGCCATGACCTTGGGGGTAGGCAAAGACTTCTTAGCATACAAAAAATCCAAATAATAAAAATTTAAAATTTAAAATAAAATTAATTATAAAAAAGGTACAATCTAAAATTAATAAAATTATTAAAACAATAGAATAATGAAGGTAATAAATAATAAAAATAATTTTAAAGTACAAATAAAAGAAAAATGATGAATTAAATTTTATTAAAATTATAAACTCCTGCTTTGCAAAAGACACTTAAGTAAAAAGGCACCTAAAGACTTAGAGAAAATATTCACAATTCATATATTTGCCAAATATAGTTAAAGAAACATATAAAACATATCTTTATTATATAAATAGCTCAAATCAATATGACACACAGCCCTTTATAAGAGGTAAGACATTTAAGTAAGTTACAAAAAGTACAGTCATACTTCGGTACTCATGGGCTTCTGAACTCATCAATCTTTTTTTTTTTTTTTTTAAGATTTTATTCATTTATCTTTAGAGGGGAAGGGAAGGAGAGAGGGAGAGAAATATCAATGTGTGGTTGCCTCTCCTGCGTCCCCTGCTGGGAACTGGCCTGCAACCCACGCATGTGCCCTGACTGGGAATCGAACCGCATCCTTGGGTTTGCAGGCCGCACTCAATCCACTGAGCTACGCCAGCCAGGGTGGCACCCGTCAATCTTGGTACTCATTGCGGTTTGGTGAGAAAAAGCCTCTGTGCTGGGCGATCGCTTGCTCGGTAGCTTGCTCCGACTCGTCACACTCACTAGAACTTGTATGGGTCACGCCCCTGGCCCGAATTTTGCTTCATGGATGGGCACTGGTCGGTTTCAGCCCTAGTCGCGAGTTCCAGAACGAATTAACGACCAGTACTGAGCTGCCACTGCACATTAATGGTTAATAAGCTTATGAAAAAATGCTTGACATTAGCCACAAAAATGCCATTAAAACCAAAGTAAATATCATTAGAACGGCTGCCGGGGGCCGGTCACAGTTTGTTTCCTGTTGTGGATGCCGGTGGCCCGGCACGCTTCGCTGTCCGGGAAAACTCTCCGCGCCGTTCAGCGGCCGTTCACATAGGACCGCAGCACCTTTCTGTGTTCCGCTCCGAGAGGACGTCCTGCGAGACTGCTGAATGCACTTCGCATTTTGAAAGATGCTGCTAAACTGCGGTCCAGAGAAGTCACACCAGCGCCCTGCGAGGCGGGTGAAGGTGTCGCTTCCCCGCAGACTGGCCGGCGGTGAGCGGCTTCGACCCTTTTCATCTGCTCCGGGGAGAAAGGACGGCTCCCGGGGTTACTCCGCGCAGCGGTGGGAGCCGCAAAGCCACCGCCCCACCTGGCGCTCCAGGTAATCCGCGGATAAAGACTCCGGTACTGTTAAGGGCCACAGAGTCACCCTTGAGGGTCTGTGGCCCCTGGGTCCCTCAATTCTGACACACACCCGGACAGCCACCTTCTCCCAACTCCCGAGGATGGAGTTACTGGGCCAGACGTTGGGGATGGTTAATGAAGGCGTTTTGGTGGGCGCTGGCTGGCCAGCTTCGTCGACTGCTTCTGCCCGTGGAAGGCTCTTTTTATTTTATGTTTAACATGGAAAGAGAAGGGAAAGCAAGAACACTCCTGAGAGTCGTATGTCATTAGATTCGGCTGGACGGGAGCAGGAAGGTTTTGAGGCAGTATCTCCTTTCACCCATTTATTTCTCTATTTTTAATTCTTTGGGCTGCAAAATGCAGAAGACAGAGACTTAACAACCAAAAAGTGGAACAATTCTGAGTCGTCACCTTAAACAGAGCCGAAAGATAAGCCGCAGGCTGGAAGGTTCATAACCTCTATGACAAAGCTTAAGATCCAGAATACATAAAGGGCTATCACACACCAGTAAGAAAATGGCAAAGCATCTGGGGAAACACGTAGTCAAAGATGGAGCCAGCGCAGGAGAGGAAATACGGAGGGCCCAGAACAATATGCAGAGATGCTCGGGTCCCTGGCAACCAGGGAAGCAGAAATAGTGTGAATAAGTGGGTGCAGGCGTAGGAAGGACATTTGGGGGGAATCTATGGAATGACCTGCACAAATGCACCCTGACGTGGACCAGCGATGCCGCCTCCAGCTTCGTTTATAGGAACAAAAGATGTACCCGCCGACCCTGGCCGGTGTAGCTCAGCAGGCTGGAGCGTTGTCCCATCACCAAGAGGCTTGGGGTTTGATTCCCGGCCAGGCACATACCTGGGTTGCGGGTTCGATCCTGGGCCTGGGCGCTTATGGGAGGCAACCAAACACTGTCTTTCTCTCTCTCCCTTTCTCCAGGACCCGTCTGCCCACACAGGCCCAGTTACGCCAACGTGCAGTGGTGCAGTGAGGCCACACAATGGCTCACTCTGCGGCCTCACAGAATGAACGGGCTCTGCGTGACTCAGAAAGCTCTCCGCACCACCTTCAGGGAGCGTCGCAGACCCGTGGGGTGTAATCCAGGTTTGGAGAAGTGCGAACGCTCTATTTCCACACGCACGGGTGATGGAGCGGAGTTCTACCAGGTGCAATGGAAGGACACACTGCCAACCCGACCCACGGCCGCCTGAGAGACCCGTGAGGAGGCAGCTGGCCCTTCCCCATGTGGGGTGGCAGAGGCCTGGGGTCCGATTCTGGACCCGTTCAGGAGGGGGGGCCAATGGGACTGGCTAAGAGCGCATGCAGGCGGGAGAGAGGGACCTGGGTGACATGGAGGGCTTGGGCTGCACCTTTCCGAGTGGGGGCAGAGGCCCCGATTTGGGGACACGAACTCCCAAAAGGAAAGCTCAGACGTCTTGGCTGGTCGGGGAGGGACAGAGGCGGGGAGCGAGCCGGAGAGAACCACATGAATGGAAACCGGCTGAGAGAACGGAGCATCACTTACACACTTCCTAGTGAGAGGGGGCTGCCCCAGGGAGGCCCCAGTTGGTGTGGGGTGATGCCCCTGACACCTGTGAGGCTACAAGGGTCGATGCCAAGGGTGCAGCTGGCCACAGTGGGGGTGGAGCCGGGAGCCGAGGCTCAGGACAGTGGTCAGGACTGGGGGAGAAGCTGGGGGGGGGGTTGGCAGGAAGCTGGGGGCTGTATGAGCTCCCCGGGAGGTGAGTGGGGACAGAGGGAGGCGAGGGCAGGGTAGGCCCCCCTGCATCCGGGTAGGGAGGGGAGGAGCAGTGTGGCTACCAGCCAAGGCCACCAGGGAAGGGGACGCATCCACAGCAGGGGCAGGGCAGCATCGCCGAAGGTCCCGAGGGGACAGCTGAGAACCGCCCATGGGCCCCACCGCAGGAATGGCCCGGCGCCTGTGGGTCCCGTGGAGCCCCCGTGGTCTCACTCGAACACCACACTCGCTCCTCACCAACTCCTGAAGTGACACGGGCGGACGGCAGTGCAGGCCTCCCTCACTCACAGGGAAGCAGAGGCCCTGAGCGCAGACTCGGGAGGGCGGGGGCGCCAGGGTCCTGCCCCAGGTCTGAAGTCCCGCTCAGCCACACCTGCCCCACGGCCGCTGGGCCAGCCCGAGAGCGGGACCACGGGGAGGACCAGCGGGCCGCCGCTCCCCTCTGGGCGGACAGGCACAGGCCTGGGGGTCCGACCCAGTGTGTCAGAGTTTATTCACGCCCCCTCCCCACGGGGGAGCACGGGGGGCACCAGACCGTGGTTCTGAGCCCAGGGTGGGGGTTCAGGTGGAATCCCCGGGCCCAGCGAGGCTCACACGTGCTGCCTCCGGTGCCGCAGCACCTCCGTGGGCGTGAACAGAAAGTCTTTCTGACAGGCCTCGCAGCGGTAAGGCCTCTGCAGGGCTGACGTCTTCTGCTGGGGCTCAGGGGTGGCTTCCTCGGCCCCTGAGGGAGAGAGGAAGGGAGGCTGAGGGGGGCACACTGCTGCAGGCTCGCACCCCCACCCAAATCCCAGGCACCTGAGGGACTCAGGCTCTCCTGGCCTTTGGGGAAATCTGGCTCTGCCTCCTCCAGGAAGCCTTCCCTGGTTAATACATGCACAGAGGCAAGTCTTTAGTGTGCGTCTGGGGGGAGAGACAGAGACTGCCCTGGGGTGGGGTCCACACAGTATGGTAGGCAGTGTTGGGTCTGCCCGCCACGTCACCCCTGCTAACAACCTAGTGGATGCGGCCAAGGTGGAGACAGCTGTGGGACATAAAAGAACAAGGGACACAGCCATAGAGGGACACAGCCACAGAGGCGGGTCACAGAGAGACCAGAGAGACAGAAATGAGAACGTGGCGGCCCTCCAGGCCCTCCCCAGTCCAGGCTGCAGGTCTCTGACAAAGCCCGTATGCGGCACCAGCCAGGACCAGAGGGCAGCTGCCGTCCACCCCCAGAGCGTCCAGCAAACGCTCAGATGCGCAGGAAACGACACGGAACAGACAGATGTGCCCACAGCCCCGTCCTTACCGGCAGGGCCGTCCCGCGGGGCCTCGGGGCAGCTGTTCTCGTGGGCGATGCGCTCCAGGGGTGTGAGGGGCATGTGCAGGCCGCAGTGGGGGCAGGTCCAGAAGGTGCGGAGACAGTCGCTGTACAGATCCGTGTCACTCTGCAGCGGGCAGGCCGTGTCAGGGCCTTGCCCCTGGGCCTGCCCCCCAGTAAGCCTAGGCCCCTTCTGAGAACCCCTCGGGGCTGGCCAGCCCCGCTCTGAAACTGCCTCCCTGGACTGGGTCGGAATGTGGTGGTGGGGGTGCTCCCTAAAATCCCACCTTCAGGGGCCGGGGGACAAGGTGGGTCCATGCTCACCGTGAGGCAGTTATAGGTGAGGAAGTCCGTGACTGCGTAGCCCCCCTTGGTGGGGTGGGGGGACAGGGCAGAGCTGCCGAAGAGGCCGGGGAGACTGGGGGCAGTTGTGATGGTCTGGGGTCCCACATAGAGGTTCTGAGCTTCCAGCCCCGTGAGCCGCCGGAGGCTGTAGGGAACCTGGGGGGAGAGAGGCAGCAGATAGACTCAGGGAGACACTAGGGTCAGAGCGCCAGGATCCAGCTATGCCTGAAGTCCACCCCTGGACTTTTCAGGTCCGGGGGCCAATTGCTTAAGCCAATCACGACAAGGTTTCAGACGCGCTCCCAACCACAGTCTTGTGTAAGCATGCCCCAGTGCCTCACCCTCCATCGCAGCTGCCCTTCCCAGGCCCCTCCCCTCTCCCTGCCACTTGTGGGACCACATTCGGGCTGTGAGTCTGGCCACCTTGCCCCTCCTTCCCCCAGCACGTCAGCCTCTTCCTCTTTCCCTGACTCACTGGGCCCCTGCACTCCTCCAGGAACTCATCCTGGATCGCACCCTCTCCCCTACCCCAGCCGCACGCAGTACAGTCAGTGTCAATTCCGCACGCCCGTTTCAGAGGTGGGGGGTTGGTTTCACATCTGCTCCCTCCAGGTCTTCCTGTCTGTGCTCCACGAGTAAACACCCTGCAGCCCGCCTGCCCGACCTACAAGCCCTAACTGCAGGGAGGCGTCCCTCCTGCCGCACGCCCAGGCTGCTCAGTGCCCAGCTGCCTAATGAGGGCCGCGTGGGCTCTGGAGCCAGGCACCACGGTCCACTCTGGGCTCCCGCCCGTACCGTCTGTGTGACCTTGGTTTGTCGCCACCGCCCGGGTTTGAAACGCTCCCGAACGTGTGCACAGTCGGTGAACCAGAAGCCTTATCCCCGCGGGCCAAGGGTGGTGCCGGCCCCAGCGGTGCGTACCTTGGATGCCATGAACTGCAGCAGCTCCCTGCTCAGTGCCGCCACCTCTTGGCGGTTGACCGGAGCCTCCTCCTCCTCTTCCTCGTCCTCCCGCTGCCCCCGCCCACGCCCACGGGCCTGATGGGCCTGCCGGGCCAGCTGCTGGTCCAAGGCACTTTCCCACCGGGCCCGGAGACGCAGGGAAGCCGCCAGGAGCCGGACGGCGCCTTCACTGTCGGCGAGCTGGAGCTCCAGCCAGCCGTCGGCCACCAGGCGGGAGCAGTCACCATTGGTGTCCAGGGCCCGACTGAACAGCAGGAGAGACTGGGAGAGAGGGGGCAGAAAACAGGCCGCCGGTGAGGGGCGGGGCTTAGCTTAGAGGGGCGCCCACCTGGCTGGGCTCCTGCCCACCCACCCCCTTCTCCATCCAGTGTACCCGTCAGTCCCCACGCGTCCCCCTGCCCACCCATCCCCCTACCTCTCCATCCCCGTCCAGCCGATGCACCCGTCCACCCCTCCCCCCTCCGCCCACCTCATCAGCAAACATCCGCCACACGCCTGCTCTGTGCCAGGCTGAGCCCCCGCCCCCCGGAGCTGACACTCCCCTGGGGAGACAGGCGCATCAGGACCGGAGAGTGAACTGAGAACCTTCTAAGGAGGGTGGCCGTTACTCAGGTCGGGGGCGGACAGCTGAGGGCAGAGGCCACACCTGCACAGGCTGGGGGCTGCATGTGTGTACACCCTGGTCAGCCCTCCTCAAATGATGTCCCTGGCATTTGCACACGTCCCTCTATGTACACTCTGCCCTCAAACACACTCACAAGTCTGGGACGTGAGCTACTGGGGGCGGTGGAAGTGTCAGGGCGAAGGGTGCTGAGGTGGGCGACTTACTTCAAAACCCACCCACTGAAACAGGCGGTAAGTGGACAGAGGACAGGTATGTCATCAAGCAAAAGACCAATGTCATTTGAAGGGTCTTGGGACTGGTGGGTGTGAGTGGTCACCGCACACTTTCAACTTCCCGGTTTGAAAACCATCATCGTACTTTGGGGAAAATTCTATGGATGGGGCAGGGGAGCGGGTGGGGCACGACTGGCCTCTGGGCGATGGAATGGGGGGTTCAGCACGCTTTCTGTCATCAGAGCTGGTGCCTGCCTCCAACTCCCCATCGTGAACGAACTGTGGGGACGGAGGTGAGGCTGCAGTAGCTTCACCTGGGTTTCCTCCCCGCCCCAGAGCATCTGGCTGCCTCCTTTACGGTTGTTCCTATGCACCGTCTCACGTGTGAGCCCCACGAACATGGAGCGTTCTCACTTCTGATCACCCCCAGCCCCAGCACAAGTACTCAGTGAAGGGGCGAATGAGCACGGGTGGGTGGCTGAGAGCTGGTTTCCACGGAGTCCGTGGGAATCACAGCGTCAGGGGATCTCCTGAGTTCAGGGGGCCTGAAGGGTTTCTCTCTTCCCTCACCTCTCCCTGGGGTGGAAGTGAGGGCGTCCTGGTAATGGGACACCCGCAGGGCAAGGTGCTGGCGCTTTGGCCCAGACACTTGCTGTCCCCAACCCAGCCCCCCAGAGCCCTGTCTCCACAGCTAATGTGAGAATCACAGCCAGTCCCAGAACCGCAGGGTGGCAGGCATGGTGCGGCCGCCCCTGCTGACAGGACCCGTTCCCTGGCTGCCCGCGCACACACAGTGTATCCTCAGTCTGGGCACAGCCGTCCCGGCCCGGCCACCGTCCCCTCCCACCTCCCAGCTTCCCCCCTCCTCAGACCCTGTCCCAGCTCCGCTCCAAAACCTTGGGGGGATGGTGTGGCCCCAATCTCACCTGCCTTGCTGACCTCCTCTCTCTGACCTCGTCTCCCTAATTTCTCCCCTCACCCACCGACTGCTCCAGCTGGTCCCTGTGTGCACCCAGGTGTGTGTGCCTCAGGGCCTTCGCACTTGCCGCCAGGCAGGACTCCCCTCACCCAGGGGTCCCTGTGGCTCCCTCCGTCCCTTCCTTCAGGTCTCTGCTTAACTGCACCTTCTCCATGAGGCCCGCCCAGGTGGCCTTATTCCACACTAGGCCCTGTCCCCTACCCTCACCCCCAACGCCACCCTCCTAATCTCCTTACCCTATTCCTTTTCCTTTCCTGGACCGCACATCACCCTTGAACCCCTCACCGAGTGCAGCCCTATGTTTCCTGCTGTGTCTGCCCTTCCCCGCTAGATGGCAGCTGCGGGAGGGCCGGACTGGCTCCGGTTTGGTTCGCTGCTGTGTCCTCAGCACCTTCAGCAGCGCCTGGTGTGCAGCAGGCACTCGGCAGGGAATTGCCAGAGGGGGGCCAGGGTGGAAAGGCAGCAGCCAGGAAGGTGACTGCAGGGGCCCAGCCCGTGCCTCTGGCCCTGGGGGCCCAAGTCATCACAGCTGGGAGCTGGAAGGCGGGGCAGGGACCCACCTGGAGGGCAGGGATGCGGACGCAGTTCACCAGGTACGGCTTGTTGGTCTCCAGCAGGGACACGAAGGTGAGGAGCTGGTGCCTGCTGCTCATCCTGTCCCTGTCGTCTGAAAGGGTCAGTGGGACAGCTCAGGCCCACCCTGCCCACGACCTCCCCTCCTGCCCCTTCCCCTCACCTGCCCCCCGGGGGCTGCCTGATCAAACACCTGCGATTTACTTTAAAAGACTTTGTCATAGGGGATGTGACTTTGGCTATTTGGTGGCATTGAGAAATAGTTAACTTTGTGAAGAGTGACAACAGCATTGTGGTAATGCTAAAAACCAGTCATCATTGTCATCATCATCATTATTATTATTACTAAGTGATGTGATGTCTGAAGTGTAATTTAAAATACTCCAGCCAAGAAGAAGGCTGGCAAATGCTGATGGTCACAGGAGCTGGTGAGGGTTTTGTCTACTCAGATGATGCACAACATTTTCAAAATTAAAAAATAAAAAACGCAATGTAATGAGAAGAGAGTAAACTGTCTAGTCATTTATAGCAGTTAAAAATGATAAGTTTCCAAGTCCATCGTTGATGTTTAATATTAAAACCTATCCTGGCTGATGTGGCTCAATGGACTGATCACCAGCCTGTGAACCAAAGGGTCACTGGTTCAATTCCCGGTCAGGGCACATGCCTGGGTTGCGGGCCAGGCCCCCAGTAGGGGGCGTGTGAGAGGCAACCACACGTTGATGTTTCTCTCCCTGTCTTTCTCTTTCCCTTCCCCTCTCTCTAAAAATAAGTAAAATCTTAAAAAACATAAAATTAAAACCTTATCTTTTTGAGTTCATATCGGGTGTTCCTTTGTTTGCAGATGAGGAGAAAAATGAGTTGCATCCCTAAGCCTTCCAAGGGGCACCCGGGCTGGGGCCCGGCCCGCCCTGCTCGCAGCCGCTAGGAAGGTGGCTTTCACAGCCCGGACTGGAAGGTAGGGGGATCCCAGGCCTGAAGTCCGCCTTCTGTGTCTGCTGGGCCGGGAGGGCCCCAGGGCAGGCCAAAGTCTGGGACTTTCAGAGCTCACTGAGGGAGCTCCTGACGGGCTAAAAACTCAGTCCTTGGGGACGGCCACCACGCTGAGGTCCACCCAGGCCCCCATGGGGAGGGCGAGGCTCAGCGTGGAGGTGACCTTGCCATGCCTGCAGGTCGCCCCTCAGCAGCCAAGGCAAAGGTCGAGTGCGGTGGGGAATGGAGCAGGAACTGGGACAGTGAGGGGTCCCCTCCCCGCTCGGGTTCACGGTACCTCGGCTCCCTTCCCCGGCCCTGGTCTCCGGCTCCTTTGTGTGCAGCACCTCGGGGCTGTTGGCGAAGACGCAGGTGGGGTGCAGCACCGTGCCCTGCTTGGCCTGGGTGTGGAAAATCTGCAGGGGCCGAAGGCAGAGACAGGTGACCACGGAGACCCCCAGACGCCCCTGGACACGCTCTTCCCACTGCCCGAAGAGCTTTTCCTCCTCGCCCTGGCCAGGTTCCTCCTCCAGAGCTCAGCCGGGTCCCTCCTGCAGGGGGCCCTGCTGAGCCTGCCCAGGCTGGTCCGGGCCCCTCTGTGCTCCCCTCGCCCTGGGCTCCCCACCCCATCCCTGACCTCTCTGGGTCACGGGTCTGCACTGTGAGCCCCTCGAAGGCAGGGCCGCTTCAGTCAAGGCAACGTCCCCAGCACAGAGCAGGTTCGGGGACCATGTGCCCATTCGGGACGCGGAGCAGGAAGGGGGCGCACCTGGTCAGAGTCCTTGCGGCCGCTGTTGAACGGGTCTGGGACGGCGAGCTGCGGGTAGAGGCCCCGGCCCAGCACCAGCTTCAGCAGAGCCAGTTGGTCCCCCGTCAGCGCCTGGGCAGAACTGGCGGCCGCCTGCAGCTGCTCCAGGTTGTGCCGCAGCTTAAACTTCACGTCCTGGTGGGAACACAGGGCCGGTGGGTCCCGAGGGGCCTGTACTAGGACACGTGGGTCTGCGGGGCTCTGCAGACTGCCAGGCCGGGTCCTCTGCACAGAAGCCCTTCTCCCGAGTGAGGGCAGGGATGTGTCCCCTCCAGCCCCCAGGACAGGGTGCCATCCTCGCTGTGGTCAACTGCGCCACCGCCCGCCCCGGGCCCCAGACAGCCCTGTGGTGCCCCACCTGGATGTCCACATTGTCGCTGGCCTCCCTAGGGGCTGCGCCCCGGTCCTCGTCGCTGGAGCCTCCCTCCTGCTCCTCCTGCAGCCGCAGCACCTTGCGCCTGCGCGCCCCGCCCTCCTCGTGCTGCCGCTTCAGCTGGTACAGCGCCCGGCGCTCCCGGCGCTGCTGCAGCCGGCTGTAGCTGTCCCTGGGCCTCGGGGCCTGGGCCCCCGCCAGCAGCCCGTGGTCCTCCAGCAGCTCCTGGGGACGAACGGGGCCCAGGTGAGGGGCACGGGGCAGGCCAGGCGGGCGGGCTCTGGACCTAGACACAGGTTCAGCGTTGGGCCTGCCGCTTGCTGGCAGGCGACGTCACCCTTCTGAGCCACACTTTTTCTCCAGTGCAGAACAGGGACGCGCCCAGGGCCTCCCCGCCAGGGCTGCTGGGGGCTGGAACGTGTCAGATGAGAGCAACTTTGCACCGTGGGGACATGGAGGGCCACTGCACGGTGGTGCACTGTTGCCGCTCTTGGCCAATGAACACCTGGGCCTGGGGACAGGTGGGGGGCAGGGAGGAAGGGGAGGGGCCCTGGCCATCACCCAGGGGCTTCCCCACGCTCCTGTCTGTCATGGCTCCGGTCAGGCCTTGGCCCGCCCCAGCCAATGTGGGTGTTCAGAGGGTGGTCCTCCAACCAGCGGCAGCGTCTGGGACACGGGACGTGTGAAAACGCCAAGTCCTAGGCCCCTTCCCAGAAAACAGACTCAGAGTCTTGGCAGGGTCAGGAGCCTCGGTCTGACAGACCCTGGGGGATTTAGAAGCACATCCGGGGCACCCAGCCCTCCACCCCACACGCAGCTTTGTGAAAGGGGCCTTCGCTTACCCTGCTGGGTTGGACCCTCTGTTTTTCACTGAGCCCAACCAATGAAGGACATAGAATATGCATGTGCATATGCGTGTGCATGGGAAAGAGAGAGTGAGCACAGCGTCTGGGGCCCACCCAAGGTTGAACCACAGCTCTAGGAAGCCACAGACGTTGAAAGACACAGGAAGGGTCAAGAGATTGCCTGTCCCCGGCGTGGGGACCCCCTAAAATTGTATAAGACACCTTGGTCAGGTGGCCGCCCACTCCAGGCCTCAATCTGCCCACCTGCCACCAAAGGGAATGGGCTGCCCCAGGGCCCCTGGCATTTCATTTCCGCTCCGAGGCACAAGTGCAACCACTGAGAAGTACGAAGCGGATCTTCTCCTTCTCAAGTGGAAAGACGAGCACAGAATATTAACGGCCCCAGCAAGGGGCAGGGCCCCGTGGTCAGGATAACACGGCCGACCCTCGTGCGAGACCACCCAAGGGCCCTCCGCGCACCAACTCCCCGAAGCCCCACGGGCCCTCTGAGGCACACGCGTTACCTTCCCGGTTCCAGAGGCAGAGCCGAGGCCCAGAGAGGGCCCACAGCAACTTGCCCCAGGTCGCAGGGCCAGCAAAGGGCAGAGCTGGGACCTGCCACTGGGACATCGGTTTCAGATGCAGTGGCTCCACCCTCGAGCGCAGCCGGCTCGGCCCCTGCTCCAGAGGGCACAGTTGTCCCTGAAGACGCGGCACAAGACCGCTGGCCCTGCAGCCCACCCCCGGTCATCAGTGGTGGGGGAGGTGCGTGTAGGGTGGGGTCCCGCTCACTCTGGGCCCTGGGCTGTGCTCAGGGGCTCTCACTCTGCCTGCCCTACACCCCAGCCTCCCTGCCCGCCCGACTGGGCGGCCCCGTCCCAGGCCCTGCGCCTCACCTTGAACTGGCGCCGCAGGTTGGCCATCTCGTACAGCCGATGCTCCTCTATGCCCCGGCGGCGGCACCACTTACGCGAGTTTCCGCCCCGTTCGGATTTCACCTGGGTGGAGGCAGACACGAGGTGGCAGGGCCTGGCCAGTGGGAACATGGTGGGGGGCAAGTGGGGGGCTGGCCTCACCCAGACCACCCCAGCGTGGGTCTGAACACCAGCCTCGGGGCGGATGCAAGGCACGTGGGAGCCCTGTCGGCCCTCCCTGACACTGGCTTCCTTCCTTCTTCCAGGTCTCAGCCCCGAGGCCCCCTTCCTACAGGAAGCCCTCCCAGACCACACTGGCTCAGACAACCCCTCCCGGCTCTCTGAGCCCATTCTGGGTGGTCACCGTGTAGGGACATGTCTGGCTTCCTGCACTGGACTGTGAGCCCCAGGAAGGTGGGTCCCCAGCACTGCCTGGCTCAGGGCCAGGCCCAGAGTGGGGCTCCCAGAACGTGTTTTGGGACAATCTGGACTTTCTCCCGACAGCACTGGTTTTAAGCGGTACTGTAGAACCCCAGGCTCCCCTCCAGCCCGAGCGCTGACCCGCTGGTCCCAAGGACGCTGGGGTCCACGGGCTGGCGGTGGGGGGCGTGAGGAGGAGCCAGAGCCTCAGGCAGGCCCTGACCCTGTGCAGAACGACAGACAGGCCCCACCGCCGGCCTCACCTGCACCCAGGTGTTGAAGACATTGAAGAGCGTGAAGGGGTCGCCCTGGTCACTCTCCAGGGGCCGCCGCGCAGCCGCACACTCCGGGTTGCTCTGGGCGCTGCGGGTGAAGGGCGACTGGACGCTGAGGGCGGCCGCGATGGTGAGCACGGGCTCCGCCAGGTGGAACATGGAGCCCAGGATGAGCATCTTCCCTGTGGGGCAGGCAGCGAGCTGAGCCTCCCGCTTTGCCTCCCTCCCTCCACGCCGCCCACAAAGGGCCTCGGCAGCCCGATGGGCAGACTGCGCTTTCCGGTCCTGTGACCTCAGGCAAGGCCTCGGTTTTCCCACCTCGGGTGGGCACTGCCTAGGCACCGGCTACTGCTTTTCTCTTCATGACCGGATCCCCCAGCGCCCCCTCCCCCAGGTGCCTGGCTTTCTGTTCTTTGAGGCACCAACTCTGACCTGCCCCCGGCCTCTGTCCACCCCCAGGACGGGACACCGCAACAGCCGTAGCCCAGCCTGCCTGGCACACAGCAGGTGCTGACTTCTGCCCCCGTCTCAGGAGGAATCCTACCCTGCCACCTTCGTAATTCCAAATGGAGGGGCAGGGGAAGATGGAGAGGAGGGCGGGGGAAGGGGGAGGGGAGGCGCAGGGGACAGGGAAGGACAGGGAGGGACAGGGAAGGACAGGGAAGGCAGGAGGAGCGAGATCCAGCAAGGTGAAAACACGTTTCCCGATGCTCAGGCCGTTCCCGCCTGCCCTGTGGTCAGTGGCTTGCACATCGTGCGTCTGACTCATCCCCACGGGTCCCGCTGACTGCCTTTCCAGAAAGTTCCTGCTGTACAGGAACAAGTCTAGCCTTGTTACGAAAAGGTGGGCAGTGAAACAAGTCTGTCCCAGGCCCCTAGCTGTCACCTCGGGCAAGTCCCCCCATCCCTTCTTGCCTGTATGTCCCCATCTGTGACGGGGTGACAATGGCGTCCACCTGCTGAGAATGAACCGTGGTTCACCCTGTGAAGCACTCAAAGTGCCCAGCCAGTGACCAAGCCATCCGGGCCCAGAGCCACCCGGACCTGTGCCTCCTCCATGGCGCCCGCCAAGCCTCAGTTTCCTCACCAGTACAAGAGGGGCCCCGAGGCGCTGCCCTCACTATGTGCGAATGAAACCATACCAGGTCCCTAAAGCCTTTCACCGGCACTCGGGGAATGCAGCCGTCCGAGACGACCGTCTCCAACTCCCGCCCCCACTGAAGCCCCAGCGAGGAGCAAGGACGTGGCCTGACCGACGTTAACACAGGAGTTCTGTGAGCACTGTCCCTGGGAAATGGCGCCGTGGGGCACCGGGCCCTACTGGGACTGCTCTGTGGCTGTGGGCTGTTGGTGCAGCTAGAATGTCCTGAGTCAGGAGAACCGGGCGGAATGCAGGCGCCTGAGTCAGCCAGCTCCTCAGGACGGGCAGGGCTGCCGCCCAATGAAAAGACAAAGGCTCTGTAATCCCTACGACCCACCACGAAGGGCAGCACCAGGGCACCACTGAGACTGGCTGTGCAGAGAGACGCCTGCTTGTTTGCGCCATCTCCCTGCTGCCCGGCGCAGAGTCTGGGACTCGTGAACGAAGGGACAGGCCCAGAGAAGGACCAGGCTTGCCCGCCAGGCACCAGAGGGCAAGCAGTGCCCTGCACCCACCCGGTGCCCTGTGGGTCACCACCCCAAGGGGGGTTGTCCTCACCAATCACGACATCCACAGGCAGCTGGGCCAGCAGGGACCCGATGGGGGTGAGGGCCTCTGAGCTGTCCAGGGCGCCCTGGTCCCGGAGGTAGTGGATGGCCGTTTCCAGGCTGGCTGGGGGTGGGGGCTCGATGAAGGGGAAGGTCCTGGGGTCTCCCACACTCATGCTCTTCATCTGCAATGAGAGCCAAAGCCCCCAGGAATGGGGGATATATGAGCCACTGTGCAGCCCCCAGAGAGCTCATGGGTCACAAACTCGTGGAACTTGAAAACCCCCAATATCAGCCCTGGCTGGTGTGGCTCAGTGGATTGAGAACAAAAGTGGGCCTGCACACCAAAGGGTCACCAGTTTGATTCCCAATCAGGGCATATGCCTGGGCTGCAGGCCAGGTCCCCAGCAGGGGGCGCACAAGAGGTAACCACATGATGATGTTTCTTTCTCTCTCTCTTCTCCTCTCTCTAAAAATAAAATAAAATCTTTAAAAACTAAATAAAAGCTCTGGGTGGGGGGGTGGGTTTTCTGTAAGCTCTCCTGGTGTAGCTGGGGCCGAGAATCAGTGCCACGGTCAGTCTGGCAACGCCATACCCTGGGCAGTTACAGGCCCAGAGTGGACGCAGGTGACCCAGTTCTGCCGGCAAGACAGGCTGGGAAATTGGCCAGAGCGCTTCTGGGAAAGTTCCCATGGCCTTAAACTGGGGCCCACAGAGAAGGGCAGCTGGCTGCTTCGGTCTCTAGATGGTGAAGGAGGAGCAGGAGGAGGTGCCCACGGCTGTCAGAGCCAGAGGGCGTTCCAGAGGCAGGCCTGGGGCCGGGCAGCCTCAGGTGGAACCGGGCTCTGCCACCTGCCGGCTGTGTGGCCTGGGTCAAAGCACCTCACCTCTCGGTGCACCCAGCTCCTTGTCTGCACCTCAGAACAAGATTTACCTGCTCCAGAGAGTTTTCGTGAGGATTACAACAGTTACTCACATAAAACCCTTGGAATGCAGCCCAGCCCCCAACGAGCACTAGGTCGGTGCTTTTTGTCATCAGCGTGTGTCGTTATTTTGTCATTATCACCATTATCATCAGAACAGCCGCTGATGAGCTGGGGTTGCAAAGACAGAAAGCCCGGGCCCCTTATGACACCACTGAACCATTTAAATAACCGAGCCCAGACGGCCCTGTCTCGGGCCTTCTTGGTATGTATAAAATGGTCCTTTTCCCTCCTTGTTTAAACCAGTGTTTTTCCAACAGCAAGTCGAACTCCATGAGGTGGATCACAATCAGATTTATAAGAAATAAAATCAAACAAACAGAAACTATCGGTGTGAGGCACCCACAGGAAGGGGCTGGTTTGTGCCATTCACACATCCCGCCGCCCTGCAGGGAGGTGTGGCGGGACGGAGCTCTGGACCGGGGAGAGGAAGTGGGGGCACGCCACCCGCAGACCTGGACCCTGAACCCCAAACCCATGCTCCGTCCCCCCTGCCAGATGGCTGACGATGATCTGGACACCCCGGGGACATGACGGGGCCAGGAGAGGGAAGAGGCCTGGCCCCCAAGTAAAGGACATTGCCCAGCAACCTGGGAGCGACAGTTCTGAGCGGGAGGGTGCCTGCTGCAGCTGAGCGACACCACGGGCTGAGACGTGAGTGTGCCAGGGTGGGACCGGAGGAGCCCCGGTTGTACTGTGAAAGCCACTTCCGGACTGGTTTCTGGGGTAGCTGAAAGTGCTCTCAGTCTGCCCATGACCCTGTTCTTCCCGTGACCCGAGATCCTCCCCGTGACCCCGTGCATCCAGGCAACAACTGCCCCCTCGACATGGGACCTGGCATTTGGAGGGGCCTGCCCAGCTCCACCATCCCTGACCCTGACCCTGGTACTCCGCCCCTCTAAAGCCCCACCCCCCCCACCGCCGCCTCACCTGCAGCACCAGCGTGTCCAGGGCTACCCTCCTAATCTCCGGGACAGCGTAAGGGGCGAAGGCATCGTAGTCCGATTCAGCGTAGAGGCGGAAGCAGACGCCAGGGCCCGTGCGGCCTGCGCGGCCCTTGCGCTGCTCCGCGCTGGCCTGGCTGATCCAGAATTCCTGCAGCCGCTGCAGTTTGGCCTGGGGGTCGTAGCTCATCTCCTTCACCTTCCCTGGGGGGGGGAGGAGAGGGCGTGGGGGTGAGGGGTGTGTGTGGGGGGCGCCTGTGTGCAGCAGCCACAGGGGCCCTGCCCAGGCCTGGCCCTGGCCCCGGCCCTTCACCCTCCGACCCCTCACTCCCTCTCTGTTCCATGAGCAGCGGCCCACGGCTCGCTCTGGGCCCAGCCCCGCCATCCGGTCATGGCATCTCATCTCCTCACGCACACATCTTCTCATTTATTTTCTCAAGCCTGTTTATATGTACAGAGGTTCAGACATCCGACACACATTGTGAAGAACCTACTGTGTGTCGGGCACTGCGCTCAGTCCCTGGGGTCCAGCTGTGGGCAAAACGAGGTCCCTGGTCTCCAGGGGCTGAACTGACATCCTATTTCATCAGTTCTAAGACCAACCTGTTTTCATATAGTATTGTCCCTCACGTATTTTAGTTTTTTAAAGATTTTATTTATTTATTTTTGGAAAGGGGAAGGGAGAGTAAAAGAGAGGAAAAGAAACATCAATGTGTGGCTGACTCTCACATACCGCCTACTGGGGATCTGGTCTGCAACCCAGGGATGTGCCCTGACTGGGAACTGAACTGGTGACCTTTGGTTCGCAGTCCAGCACTTGATCCACTGAGCCACACCAGCCAGGGCTAATGTATTTTAAAATCCATGGCATGGCCACGTTTAATGGACAGCATTTTATCTCAGGCATCCTGAGCTCGGCTCTGCAAGGTAACCGCGGACACTCACTGGCATTCGCTCTGTGACAGGCCCCATCCCCAGTGCATTCACTCAGCTAATCCCTGCACCCGGAGGGAGGCACCATCATTTACAAACAAACAGACGGACACACAGTGCCAGGGCCATGACCCTGGTCACACTGGCCAGGCTGTCTCCAGTGTCCCCTAACCACCCTGTTCTGCTGACTTTCCAGAGAGCAGGCTAATGGGGAGGGCAGATGATAAGGAGATCACCAGATCTAAAATCTGATGCCCACGCCAGGAAGAAAAGCAAAGCCCCACTAGGGAGCAAGCTCAAGGGAGAAGGGGGAGGCTGCTTGGATCAGGTGGACTAGGTGGGCCCCTAACGGGGAGACACTCACGTAGGCCCTGGAATGAATGGGGGGATGAACGAGCGAGCCCTGTCATACCCAGAGGAAGACAGCTCGCAGCAGCCGCAGGTGCAAAGGCCCTGAGGCCAGGGCAAGCTAGAATGTCTGAGAGAGACCAAGGCGTTGCCATTGCTGCACAGCCCTAAATGCCACCTACTCCCTGGCTCTGGCCTGGCTGCACCTGTGCATCTCCAAGTCGCACCTTTCCCCTGGGCCCTTGGGGTGGCTGGGAGCAGCCTTACCCGAATCTACTACAAAGCGAATCCCATCGATGGTAACTGAGGTCTCAGCGATGTTGGTGGAGAGGATGCATTTCCGGACTCCAGGGGGCGCCACATCAAACACCTGGGGGAAAGTAAGGAGGTGAGATGGGGGCCAACTTAGCCCTTGTCCGCCATGTGTCCAGGGGCCCCCTGGATGACCCCCCTGGGGTGTCTCACACCCATAAGGCTAAACCAGCTCAGTGCCTCCCCTCAACGTCTTTCCCCCTCAAGTATCCACCTCAGAGATGGCTCATCGTTCTAGACCAGACCCCCAGCTGTCCTGGGTTCTCCTTTGCACCCCTCCCTGCTGCCCCTGCTCCAGACACACCTGAACATGGAGAACATTTCCTGATTTCACGCCCCCCCCCCCCCCCCCGACTGCCTCTGCCCTGGTCCAGGCCCCTCCTTTCCCTCCAGATGCTGCTCCAGCTTCCTCCTGGGTCTCCAGCCCCTAGATTTATCCCCTCCAGGGCATCCTTCACACACAGCAGAGGGATCTGCTGAAGCACAGACCGGCACTGTCCCCACCTTGCTCAGAACCCTCCCAGGGCTCCCCGGGGCGCTCCAGACAAGGCCCAGGCACTGCGGTCTGACCCTGCGCACCTCCCCAGGCCCGTCTCTCCTGGCTTCCCCGTCATAATTCAGACCCCAGCCACCCTGCGTGGAGCTGCCCAGCTGCCCTGTCTTTCTCTCACCCCAGGCCCTTTGCACAAGCCCTTCTCTTGGACCCAAGAGACAGTCAAGCCTGGTGGCTTGGGGGTTGGTGACATGGCCTGGGGATCAAATGCAGATAATGGCACACAGCCTCACCTGGTCAGTCCACAGCTGCTGCCCCACTGGGTGACAGCAGACGCATTGTGACAGAGACATGTGGCCTACAGAACCTACAACTACAGACTCCGTGGCCCTTCACAAAATCGCCAACCTCTAGTTCAGAGCGTGGGCTCCGGCGCCAGTCACCGAGGTCCACAACCTGGCTCTGCCACTCGTGTGACTTTGCACGTGAGCCAGCACCTCGGCTTCTGCACCAGTAAGCGGGGACAACAGTGGCCACGGGACCTGGCGGGGAGGACTAAGTGGGGCCAGCTGCAGCCAGAACTCCGGACACTCGCGGCACATGCTCCACTCTGCTCCCCGCCCCCTGCTTAGGCCGGGCTGTCTCAGGTCTCGGTTTTGGAAGCCCCTTCCTCCAGGAAGCTCTTCCTGAATCCACCAAGACTCTGTTCTGAGTTCAGGAGCTTTCCTCTACCAGTCATAAAGCTGTCAGTTGGTCTTCCGTCTCCCCCGACAGACCAACAGCCACTCCAGGGGAAGGGCCACATCTTGGCTCCCCGTGTGTCCCAAAGAGCCCCCCGAGCCCCAGGGAGGGCCCAAGCAGGTCGTCAGGGTGTGTCTTCATCGATAAGCAATGCCTGTGGCCTGCAGGGGATTTTCCCGAGGTGACCACGCAGTCATCCTCCAGGACAGTCCCAGAGTCTCTCCTCCCGGGACACTCATCCTCATCGGGCACCTGCGCAGTGAACAGGACGCGCCAGCCTAACTACGGGGACCCTGCAGAGATGAGCTGTGGTTTCCGAGGCCGGGCCATAGAAGATGTTGTGGCTCCTGTCTTGGTCTCTTGGGGACAGCCAGCCACTGTGTGGCAAGGACACTCAAACAGCCCCCTGGAAAGGCCCAGTGGAGAGGAACAGAGGCTCCCAGCCCCCCAAGGGGGTGAGGAGCCCCCAGCCCCAGCTGACTGCATCCTCCTGAGAGACCCTGAGCCAGGACCACCAGCTAAGCCCCCCCCAAACTCCTGACCTACAGAAACTACGTGAGTGATGAGTGCTTACTGTCCTAAGCGATCTGTCGCACAGCAGTAACTAATACAGTGACCCAAAGGCGTCTCTCCCGGGCCCCTGCCATTCCAGCCACGTGGTCTCTTCACCTTTCCCCCAAGCCCCACCCACTGCCCCCCCCCCCACCGCTCCCCCTCCCCCATCCCTTCACTCAAGCTGGTCCAGGCGCCTGGACTGCCTCCCTCCTCCTTGTCTTACCCCAAACCCTCCTGGTCCCTCACCTCCCACCTCACTGGGCACCCACCCAGCCACGTACCCCTGCCCAAATGAGGTGAGCAGCCCCTGTGCAACCTGCATCCCTGCATTCATGGCCCCCCGCCCCCCACCTCCCACCTCCCACCCACGGGCAGAGCCAGGCCGGCTGGCCACACACACCTTGTCCTGGTCGGCCACTGAGAGGGCGCTGTGCAGCGGCAGCACCACCCAGCGCTGGGTGTGGCTGGCGTAGGTCTGCGCAGCCTCCAGCACGGCGCTGATCTCCGCCATGCCGCTGAGGAAGACGAGGAGGTCGCCCCGCTCCTCGGGTGGGTACTTGTTGTCAATGGCCTCGAGCACCCTCAGGAAGGGCCGCGGGTCCAGCTTCTCCGACTTGGACGCGGTCGGCTCCGCCTCAATCGGCTGGTACACGACCTGTGAGGGGGCAGCCCGGGCGTGAGCGCCCGGGTCACTCCAGCTCAGAGCAGCGGGGAGAGGGAGCCACAGCTGGCGGAGAAGACTGATGGGGGGGGGGGGCAGCAGCATGCTCAGCCAGGCGAGGAGGACGCGAGCAAAGCAGAAAGGATCCAGGTAACTGGGAGGCTTCCGGGGTGCAGCAAGGTCTACTGCTTCTTCATCTGGGTGCTGCTGGCTGCGTGCAGGTATTTAACTGGTGAAAATTAACTGAGCTGGTCACAAGATGTGTGCATTCTGGTTTGGAGCGTAACTCCAACAATAGAATTTTAGGGGTGCAGCCAGGATTAAAGCCCTAGAAGTCCCTTCTGAGAAAGTACCCTTACTCTCCCTCTTTTAAAAAAGGTTTTATTTACTTTTAGAGAGCGAGGAAGGGAAAAAGGAAGAGAGGGAGAGAAACATCAATGTGTGGTTGCCTCTCACACGCCTCCTACTGGGGACCTGGCTCGCAACCCAGGCATGTGCCCTGACTGGGAATCAAACCGGTAACCTTTCGGGTATAAGACAGCACACCTGAGCCACCTGGTCAGAGAAGGGTACTGACTGCTTTCCCCACTGGCCAACAGGACGCCAGAGGGCAGAGGGCCCATCAGCGCTGTCCCCACAGGCCCACTGCCCAGGGAAGACGGGAAGGTGGGAGGGAGAAAGGGGATCTGGAAGAGCACGCAGAAGCCTTCTGGAACAGGGCCTGCGTCTGGGAGCAGGATTCAAGTCCTGGCTCTGCCACTTGTGAGTCATCCCGGGAGCCAGTGACTTCACGTCTCTGAGCTTCGCTTTTACCTCCATGGTAGTAATTGGTGGCACAGAGCTACGGAGGCTGTGGCAAGGGACTCACACGAGCCCTTGTTTGTTAACCGGGGAGCACGGAGTATACACTTGATAAATGTTAGCTGTGATCCCCATCGTTAATATTATGGATACAAACTATACACAGACTACAGCAAACAGGCTGAGGAACGGGGAGAGTTTGCGGCAGAAGCTGCTGACTGAAAGTTCAGGACTAAGAGTTGGGGTGCTACAAAGAATCTCTGCCTAGCTTTGGGTAGAGCAAACTGTGAGAGGACCTTAAAAAAAAAAAAAAAAAAAAGGTTTGTCAGGAATATCAAACTCTCTTTCACCTAAAAGGCCTGCCTCTTGATTTCAACTTCTTCAGCAAGAGTAGTTGCACCTCAGGTGGGGGAGAATGAAATGTAACAAAGCGTGGTGGAGTCAGGCCTGCCCCTAGGACTGCTGTAGGAATAGGATGACACGGGGTACGACGAGGGATGTGGTCCCCATAAAGTCTGTTTGTCTTCCCCGGCACAGTCACCGAGAGAGAGAAATGGTATTTCCAGCCTCCCTTGCAGCTAGGTGGGGCTCAGAGATGAGAAAGGAAGCAACTGCACGGCCATGGCCAACTTCAAAACAAACTGGACTTTCCCTGGACTTTGGCTCCTTCCCTCTTCCCACAAACCCTGACCACACAGAGCAGGACACCTAGGACAGTGCTTCTTACCAGGTGTGGTGCCGCCACCCAGGGGACATTTGGCAACATCTGGAGACATATTTGGTTATCACATCTGGTGGAGGAGGCTGCTATTGGCATCTAGTGGGTAGAAGCCAGGAATGCCACTAATGATGCCATAACACACAGGGCAGCCCCCACGACTAGGAGTCATCCAGCACGAAATGTCAACAAGCTGTCTAAGAAACCCGGCCCTACAAGATCGGAGAGCAATGAGAAAGAGTGAGCCTGGGTCCCTGAATGACCTCATGAAACTGAGTTCCCATTAACCTGGACCAGACGGACTGTTAAAATGTGAGCCTTGCCATGGCTGGTGTGCCTCAGTGCATTGAGTGCTGGCCTCGGAACCAAAGATCACTGGTTTGATTCCCAATCAGGGCACATGCCTGGGTTGTGGGCCAGGTCCCCAGTAGTGGGTGCACGAGAGGCAACCACACAGCGATGTTTCTCTCCCTCTCTTTCTCTCTCCCTTCCCCCCGTCTAAAAAATAAATAAATAAAAGCTTTAAAAAAAAATTTAGCCTTTACATTTTTGGGTCTCCTCTGATAAGCACTTACCACTCTCCCCAGCACATGTAAATGCTCAGAAATGGCAGCTTTAGAAAAGGCAGAGTGAGAATGTCCTTAATCGAAGGGGTGGGAAGCAGAGCCGCAGAGAGGGGATGGGTCCGGGTCTGGCCAGAGACCAGGCGGGAGGCCTGGGGACGGGGCCCAGGAGCACTGACCGTGATGGGGAAGAGCCTCCCGGGCACCTGCACCACGGGGGCGTTGCCGAAGTAGCTGGAGAAGAGCGAGATGTTGATGGTGGCCGACATGAGGATGACCTTGAGGTCAGGCCGCTCGGGCAACAGGCGCCGGAGGACGCCCAGGAGGAAGTCGTTGTGGAGGTGGCGCTCGTGGACCTCATCCACGATCAGGACCTGGTACTGGGGCAGGCTGGGCTCCCGCTGGATCTGCCTCAGGAGCAGCCCCACCGTCAGGAACACAACCTTGGTGGCCGCCGAGCGCGTGCTCTCAAAGCGGATCTGGTAGCCGACCTGGGTGGGGGGTGGGGGGAGGGCCGTCAGCGGAGGGCCCTGGGCCGGGGCGCCAGCCCCTTCCCTGCCCAAGATGAAATCTGAGCAAACGCCCCTGCCTCAGACTCGGGGGTCCGACACACTTGGGTGTGAACCCCACCTGTGCATCCCCCAGAGACGTAGCGTTCTCTCCTGTGAGGAAAAGAATATAAAGTTATGTGCTAAGGCACATAAATTATTTGGGGCAGAGCCTGGTGTATGACACTAAGTAATTATAATACTAATAAGTCGCCTTTCTTGGAGGCCTTACTGTGGCACCAACGGTTATAAATGCTTCGTGTATATCGACCCTTTGCAGTCTCACAGCCGCCACAGGGCGAAGGGTCAGTCATATCCTCACCGCGCAGGTGGGAGAACCGAGGGCACTCATCCAACGCCACAGCTACCGCGTGGTCCCTCACATCACCCATGTGCACACACGTCGGTTTTGGGCGACTTACAGGGGTAAATGTAAGAGTTACTAGGAAGAAAACATAAAACATCTTCACAACCTTGAAGTACACAGAGATTTCCTTAACAGCCCAAAGTGTGCCATTCACAAAAAGAAAATGAAAGACTAGATTATAGTTGAATGAGAAGACCCTGTCATCCAAGGGCGCCGTTCAGAAAGTAACAGGCAAATCACAGAGTAGGGAGAGTGAAATAGGGAATTTTAAGTAGTTAAAATGATGTAATTTTCAAAAATATGTTATTTATTGACTGTAAAACTTAATAATTATATTGGTAGGCTGGTCAAACACACTAAAATGTATTTTCAAAACTAAAATTTATTTTTTATTTTTTAAGAGATTTTATTCATTTATTCTTAGAAGGGAAGGAGAGAGGGAGAGAAACATCAATGTATGGTTGCCTCTCGTGCGCCCCCTGCTGGGAACTGGCCTGCAACCCAAGCTCGTGCCCTGACTGGGAATCAAACCACGATGGTCTGGTTCGCAGACCGGAGCTCAATCCACTGAGCTACACCAGCCAGGGTAAAATTTTTTAAAAGATTAAAAAAAAAAATCACAAAGAGCCAATATTTGCAATACATAAATGCTACCGAGGACTCTTACCCAGAACCAATACAGGCCCGTAAATCAAGAACAAAAAGACAGACAACTCGAAAGACAAATGAGAAAAACAGCTTGAACAGACACTTCACAAAACAGGCTCTGCAAATGGCCAATAAATACAGGAAAAGGTGCTCAATTCCCTTCGTCTCCAGGGAAACGCAAATGAAAACCCGCACCACAAACCAGAAAGCGGTGCCACTCCCCAGCCACCAGAAGAGCTAACGGGAGAAGATGAACCACACCAAGTACTGGAGACGCCGCAGGACCTGCTGCCCGTGGGAGGGGACATTGGTACTACCGCCCTGCAAAGCAGTTTGGCAGTGTCCCTCTCCTAGACAGACACCCAACAAAAACAGTCACCAAGAGTCCCTGATAGGCAGTATATCACACAATGCTCCTGGCTGGTGTAGCCTGTGAGCCAAAGTGTCACTGGGTCAATTCCCAGTCAGGGCACATGCCTGGGTTGTGAGCCAGGGTCCCCAGTAGGGGGCGCACGAGAGGCAATGACACATTGATGCTTCTCTCCCTCTCTTTCTCCATTCCTTCCCCTCTCTAAAAATAAATCAAATCTAAAAAAAAAAAATGCTGTCCATTCACGAGCCTGAAATTGGAAACTCCCCAAATTTCCATTGGCAGCTGAAGGGACAGATATCTGTGGCCGTCACGACAGGCTACCACTGCATAGCACTGTGACCGCACGGTGCTTGCCTCCATGCGACACTGAGGAGGAACCTCACACAACTGACACCAGGCAACAGGGGGCAGGCGCAAAGGAGAACATCCTTTGTAATTCCACTTACGAACAGTAAGAGGCAAAAATAGCCTTTGATAATCTACCATTAACTCCCGTGTGATAACCTGGCACTAAGGTGATCATCTGTCACTAAGAACAGTGATGACCCTGGGAGCCTCAAAGTAGGAACGGGAAAAGGATTTCTGGGGTGCTGGTGAGTTTGATGTTTTAAAGGAGTTTATTTATTTGTAGAGAGAGGGGAGAATGGGAGGGAGAGAAACATCGACTGGGGGCGCCAAACCTGCAACCTAGTCCTGTGCCCTGACAGGAAAGGGAATCGAACTGGCGACCTTTAGCTTTGCAGGATGACGCCCAACTAACTGAGCCTCACTGGTCCGGGCAAGGAAGTTTGATTCTTCCTTTAAATCGATCTGGGTGCTGCCCTGGCTGGTGTAGCTCAGTGGATTGAGTGCAGGCCTGCAAACCAAGACCTCAGTTTGATTCCCAGTCAGGGCACATGCCTGGGTTGCAGGCCAGTTCCCAGCAGGGGGTGCACGAGAGGCAACCATACATTGATGTTTCTCTCCCTCTCTTTTTTCCTTTCCCTCTAAAGAAAAATAAATAAAATCTTAAAAAAAAAAAAACAATTCTGGGTGCTAATTATACAAATCTATTCAACTTGCCAAAATTCGCAGGGCTATATACTGACGATACAGGCTTTCTACTGGGCCGGGAGTATTCTAACTTGAATAACAATTTTTAAGTGGTAGAGACAGGATAAGACCTCATTCTTTTTTATGGCTGTGTAGAAAAAAGACTGATGAATCTTTAGGACATTTCCACTTTTCTGTACTGGTAAAGTGCTATATAGTTAGACCTCAGACGTGGTGGGGTCACTGCCAGGTCACCCCAATAAAGTGAGTATTGCAATAAAGTGAACTGTAATCTTTTTGCTGGAAGGACTGCCTTCAACTTGGGAAAAAAAATGCAACATCTACGAAGTGCAATAAAACAAAGTCTGCCTGAACTGGGTGATTTAGCACCTTTACCAAGTGGACCATATCCAGGCAGATAAATTTCTAGAAGAATCAGTGCTGGCTCAAAGGGTAAGTGCTTTTGTATCTTTTATGGATACTGCCAAGGGCAAGCAACTTATTCCCCAGGGTCATACGGGAGAAACTGGAATCCTGTTCGCTCCCACTCACCTGTGAGCCGTACTGACTGAGGCTCTCAAAGCCAACTCGCTTGGCCAGTGAGATGCAGGCGATTCGCCGGGGCTGGGTGCATGCCACGTGACTGAAGCCAGCGGCCAGCAGGTACTGGGGCACCTGAGTGGACTTGCCACAGCCTGTGTCACCTGCCACCACCACCACCTGATGCTCCTTCAGTGTCTTCAGGATGCGCTGCCCGTACTGGGCGATGGGCAGCGCCGCCCGCTCACGCTGCAGTTTGGCCAGCCGCCCAAACGCCTGCTTCTGGCCAAAATCCAGGTAGTGCAGCAGGGCTCGGCGGAACTCGGACACCCTCTCCGGGGGCAGGCGCCTGCCCAGCCCCCGAGAGCCCCGAGGGTCAGGGCCGAGGACGGACAGGTTGATGCGGTAACGAGGGTCGTAAGTGCGAGGGAGGTCGGCCAGTTCGGGGATGCTGTGCTTGGGCTGCCCAGGGTCTTTCTCCTCTTTCCTGGTGGTCTTGAGATGCTGGAACCTCTGTAAGCGTTCGAAGAAGGTCCAGAACTTCTGGCACTCCTCCGAACCCTGGCGGATGTAATCCTCCTCCCCGAAGAAGGCATCCTCGAAGAGACGCCGGGTCTCTGGGTGATTCCAGTCCCACTTCTCTGGGGCCTCCTCCCCACCTGAAGCCCGGGGTCGGTCCCGGTGACCCCGGTCCTCCCTTGTTCTGGGAGGAGGCATGTTGGACCCAATCACGACTCGGTCACAAAAGCAGCCTCAGTTCTGACCACGGGGACCAAACGTTCTCATCCATTCCCGGCCTCCCGCAGGGAGGGGTCCGTGCCTGCAATAAGGGACCTCCTTCTCTTCACAGAGCTAAGTTTCCTCCTCATGGGTGGCACAGGCGATGGCAGAGTGAGTGGCCAGGGGCCCGGGGCAAGCTGGTGACACAGAGGGCTCCTCAGGGCTCCTGCCGCGACCTCTGGGGTGGACACGAGTTCACCCTGGTTTCCAGGCCCTGACAGTTTGGGGGAAGAGAACAGAAGACATTCACTTTTAGAAAGTTACTGAAAGAGGGACTTCTGCCAAGATGGAGGCATAGGTGGATGTACCGTGCCTTCTCACACAACCAAGATTAGAGAAAACTAAATATTAGCAACAGAAAACACAGCCAGAACACGGAAAATTGAACTTTTCGGAAGTCCGTTAACAACAAATTCTTCAGCCTGACCAGTAAGGGGCGAAACCAGCGGCTGGCGGAGCGGGGTTGCACAGGAGGACTCGGCCAGACACACTCGGCCCGCGGAATCCAGGCGCAGGGTCAGACCTAGTGAGCTACCCAGCGAGCAACCAGGCGAGCGACCGCGGGGGAGACAGCCGGGCCCGGGGCTGCGTGTTGACTGAGGTCGCGCATTTGTGTGCGGGTGGACAGGCGAGGGAGTGGGCGGTTGGACCAGACCGGCAGGTCCCCACGGCAAGTGGCAGTGGAGGGCGCCGCCATTTCCCTGCTCTGACCCCACCTCCACATACAGCGTCATAACCCAGCCACTCCGAGTAGCCCGGCCCAGGTGAACCACCTAAGGCACTGCTCCTCGGCACCCAGCTGTGAGAAGCGGCAGAGGGGGTCGCCATTTCCCCGCTCTGGCCACGCCCCCACATACAGCGTCACAACCCAGCGACCTGGGAATCCAAGCCGCCCCTTCTCACACTTAAAGGGCCCGAACAGACCAAGAATGGCACAGGAGGATCTCAGAGCCCCAGAACCTATAGATCTAAGCGATGAAGAAATAGCAAAACCCACAGACGCACAGTTTAAAACATTGGTGATCAGGATCCTCACAGAACTGGTTGATTATACCGACAAATTAGACAAATATATGAAGGCGAAACTAATCGAAATGAATGGAATTGCACAGGACACCAATAGCAATGAAAAGGAAACTGGGACTCAAATCAATGGAGTGGACCAGAAGAAAGCAAATAATGGCCAAACAGAAAAGAGTCAAGAAGCAAGAATTCAAAGAAATGAGGAGAGTCTTAGGAACCTCCAGGACATCTTTAAACGCTCCAACATCCGAATTATAGGGGTACCAGAAGGAAGAAAGGAACAGCCACCAGTGGAAAACTTATTTGAACAAATAATAAAGGAGAATTTCCCCAATCTGGCAAAGGAAATAGACTTCCAGGAAATCCAGGAAGCTCAGAGAGTACCAAAGAAGTTGGACCCAAGAAGGAACACACCAAGGCACATCATAATTACATTAGCCAAGATTCAAATGAAGGAGAGAATCCTAGAAGCAGCAAGAGCTAAGGGGACAGTCACCTACAAAGGAGTCCCCATCAGACTGTCAGCAGATTTCTCAAAAGAGACCTTACAGGCAAGAAGGGGCTGGAAAGAGGTATTCCAAGTCATGAAATCTAAAGACCTACAACCAAGATTGCTCTATCCAGCAAAACTTTCATTTAAAATGGAAGGACAGATAAAGTGCTTCTCAGATAAGATCAAATTCAAGGAGTTCATCATCACCAAGCCCTTATTATATGAAATGTTAAAGGGACTTATCTAAGAAAAAGAAGTTAAAGAAACATGAACAGTGAAAGGACAACAAACTCACAGTTATTAACAACCACACCTAAAACGAAAGCAAACTAAAAGGACAGCTAGATCAGGAGTGGAAACATAGAAATGAAGATCTCAAGGAGGGTTAGCAACAGGGGAGTGGGAGGAGGAGAAGGGGGGAGAAGGTACAGAAAATAAGTAGCATAGACAGTAGATAGAAAATAGATGGGGGGGCAAGAATAGCATGGGAAATATAGAATCTAAAGGACTTGAGACACATGGTCATAAACTAAAGGGGGGGTAATGGTGGGGATGAGGGGTAGGGTGGAGGGGAATAAAGGGGGAATAGAACAACTGTAACAGCATAATCAATAAAAAAAAAGAGGAAAAAGGAAAAAAAAAAAGAAAGTTACTGAAAGCCTGCTGGATGCAAGCACTGCACTAGAAGGGACATTAATGAGTAAGACCACCCTGAGCCCCTGCAGGTGGTCATGGTCACGTGCAGGAGACAGATGTGGTGCCAACTCTGACAATCCAGTAACTGGGGCTGCGATAAAGCAGGCCCTGGGGGCTGCAGGAGACTTCCCTGACCACAGACACGTGAGAGGTGTAGTGTAATGAAGAGTAAGGCTGCCCTGGCTGGGTGGCTCAGTTGGTTGGAGCATGGACCCGTACACCAACAGGTTGTGGATTCAATTCTTGGTCACGGCACATACCTAGGTTTGATCCACGGTCAGAAAGCGTATGGAAGGCAATCAACAGATGTTTCTCTCTCACATCAAATATTTCTCTCTCACCATTCCTCTCTTTAAAATCAATTTTTAAAAAATCATATCCCCGGATGGGTTAAAATAATTTTTTTAAATAATAAGGGTTCCTATTCTGGGGTCTACTGAACTTCAGAACACCTGGGACCCCTTTAAAATTAAGTGCACAATTTTGTACACGTGTTACCTACGTGTTGTTTTTGCCTGCCCGGCACATCCCTGCCTTCTCTTTCTGGTTAACCATACACACCTTCCTTTGGAGAGCTGGCCTTCCTGGATTCCACAGGGTTCTGATGGCCTTTAAGTCCAAGAACTCCTATTGGCTGCATATGTGACAAAGGCCTGGCCAGTCATGGTTCTCTACTCCTCCCTTAACCAGTGATTGGCTTGAGAGGTGGACACATGACCCAAGGAGGGCCAATCAGGACCTTTCTCTGAAATTTCCTCTAGGTGACTGGGAATGAAAAGCTCTCATTTATCTACTGCCTAGACAAAAATGATTAAACCTGAAGCTGTTTGTAATAGCTCTTCAACATAAGTCTTTCCTAGATTTTTGTCCTCGAAAAGCCTGCCTTTGGGCACAATGAAGTACCCACAAGACACACACTGAACTACTTACTATTAGGAGAGAAGTAAGGTGAGCAGCTCAGCAACATCATTTAGTCCTTGGGGCTGTCTCCTCCTACCCTCCTCTTCCGAGCGACACAAGAACACGTCTTTTAGCTTGGAGCTGGGTTTCTGACTCTCAGTGCCGAAGCCCCAACTAATAAAGAGTGTACCCTCATATGCTCTTTATTAGATGTGCCAGTTACTAGAGGGAAATGCATCACTCATATTCTTAAAGGGGTTTATGGTCTTAAAAGGGTTCAGAGCCTTCCATGGTAGAGGCTTTGGAGTCAGGCCGATCTGGGTTTGACCCTTGGCTTCATCATTTACAAGACGTGTGGACATCAGCAAATTAACTCCTTTGCGCATGTTTGTGTCCAGTCAATGGAGACAATACCCATCTCAAAACGTGGCGATGTTTATCACCTAGCCTGGTATACAAAAGCGAAACAGTCACTAGTATTCCAAGTTCAGTGCTTTCTCCCAATGACTAACAGAGGGAAAACTGCAAAAAGAACCAGGGGCACATATAACCCCTGGGGGGAATTCCACTGGGGGAAATTCCACTCAGAAGGCCACAATCCGCCTCCATAATGGTATCGGCAATGCATTCACTCACAGGGCCTTCCGTCTCTCAATAGCCATCAAGGGACAGAGCTCAGAGGTTCAACCTCCAAGGTCTCAGGGGGACTTGGGCCAACCCTGGGAGTTCTCCTAGCCAGGCACTGCCTTCCACATAAGAACCTGTGAATGGCAGAGTGGTTTCCCACAGAGGCGGCCTGTGGGGAGCGACATCGCCTCTTACTGAACACCTGTACTAGGTGACGCCAGAGCAGTTTTGAAGGAATTCCTATGCTAGGAAGGAAGAGGCGGAAAGGGCCGTGAAGGGCTACTGGGATCCGTGACCCGTGGTTCTCAGAAAAATCGAGAGCATTTCCCTCAGCCTTTAAACTGCCTATGGGCCCAACTGAGAGCATCCCAGGGCTCTCAGGGAGTCTCTCTTTTAAGCTACCTTTTAAAATTTCTGCATCTACTAGCTTTTCTGTCACTGTGCCTCCAACCACCTCCTGGTTTCTTTCCTAGGCTCACGGCTTTTAGAGGTTTTCTTTGCCATCTGTTTCACTCTTCTCTGGTATTTCCATCCTCCAGTCTGTGTCTCATCTTTTTCAGTCCATCCTGCTCACCACCCATGTCTCTGTTCCCTTTCTCCGCCTCTGGTCCCATCTCACTTCATTTGTCTTGATTCTCTCCCCCGGTTTGTATTTTTCAGCCTGATTTTTTTTTCCTGTCAAGTTCAACTGCTTTTTTTTTTATTTGATGACCTCTTACTTATCCTCTTGAGTACTCCATTTAACTTTCTCATTTTGTTTGGATCTTTAAAAATATATATTTATTTATCATTAGAGGGGAAGGGAAGGTGAGAGGGAGAGAAACATCAATGCATGGTTGCCTCTCCTGCGTCCCCCACTGGGAACTGGCCTGCAACCCAGGCAATGTGCCCCGACCAGGAATCAAACTGCAATCCTTTGGCTGGCAGGCCTGCACTCAATCCAGCGAGCCACACCAGCCAGGGCTGGATCTTTTTTTTGGGATGACTTTTATCTCTCTCCAGTTCTCCTTCTCCATCACTCTCTTCCTCTACCATGAGTCTCTTCATCTCACCCCATTTCTCTATCTAATATCTTGTCTCGAATAATAGGTCGAATAACAGCTGCCCTGCTCAAGCGTCTCAGTTGGTTGGAGCACCATCCCTCACACCAAAAGGTTGGGGGTTCGATCCCAGGTCAGGGCACACACCTAAACTGCAGGTTCAATCCCTGGTTGGCGTGCATTTGAGAGGCAAGCAATTGAACATTTTTTTCTTGTTCTTAAATCAATAAATATATCCTCAGAGGAGGATTTTTTTAAAGACTAAAAACAGCTTTTACTTAGTGCTTACTCACGTTATCAGCTCCTATTCTAAACCACTTATATACATGGATATGCACACATATACATATATACATACATTCTTCGCACAACCTTGAAAAGGCGCTATTATGTTACTGAACCACACAGAGAATAAAGAACAAGTGGCAGGTGAGAAATGCAAATCTAGGGAATCAGGTTTCCCTTACTCCTCCTCTGTCTCTATCTTTCAACGTGATTCTCCACTGCCTGGCTTTATTCCTCCATTTTTGAATTTCACAGTCTTTTCAGTTCTAAGACTCCATTTCTCCACACTCAGGACTATTCCACGTGTCTGCCTTTACCTCCCATTTCCTGTCCCCCTCACTCCATTCTCGTCTCCTGTTTTCTTTCCCTCAATCCCACTTACGCCAGCTTTTGTCTGGTTCTCTCTAGTTCACTGTCCCCGTCTTTCTATGAGTAGTGGTCTCTCCTCATGATTCAGTCTTTCGTTCCCCTACTTAAAGCGTCCTCCTCGGTCTATTTCCGTTTGTTAGTTTCCGCTATGGTCTTTCCCTCCACCTCCCAAGTTCCCGGTTCGACCACATTTCTCTCGTAAGCTCCGTGAGCCTCTCTCGATGGCACCCATCCAGTTCTTGCCCTCCATCTCTGCAGTTCTCGGCTTCCCTCCTCCCTAAACCTCCCTGTCTGTTTCTCGCAGCTTCCCACGCCTCCATTTCTTTCCGTCTAGGCCTCTCAGTCCAAATTCTCTCAGGTTCTCCACCTGTACCCACTTTTTGCGGACCCTCAGCCTCCTTCAATACATTTTCTCATCTCGGGACCGCCCTCCAATCCCTCAGCTCGCGCCCAAGCTACGCGACACTGGACACTACTCCGGCCGCCGCCGCCACAGACCCACACAGCCGCCCCACCCCCCTCACCTCCAACACCAAGGCGAAAACTTGAACTTCCGGTCTCAGTGCCCTTCACGCGCGCGAAGCCGGTTCTGCGCCTGCGCGCGCCATCCCGCTCTGCGCCTGCGCCTGCCCCGCCTCGCATCACGCCGAGCCCAGGTTGGCGCAGCGTCCTCTAGGGGCCAGTGGAGGCGCTGCGGGCTCTGCAAAGGAGACGTGCTCTGTGACTGTCCCCTGAACAACCACTTGCACTTCGGGATGGCCTGGACCCTAGGGTTTTAACTCAACGGGGGAGGTGGCGCGACGCCAGACACTATTAAAACACCCCGAAGATTTATTCATTATAATTAGTAATGCATAATTACCTTACCAACTCACTAATAAGCCAACTCAACTCCCCAGCTCCCTGAAGCCAGAGGCGTTTCTCCAGAACACAAGACGCTCCAGATTTAGCTTCCACCGCAGGGATCAGATAGTCGGTGTTTGTTGAATGAATAACTAACCGAGAAAAGTGAGTCCTCTTTAGTCCTACAGGTTCCAGTCATGTAGGACTACATGCCGCGGGCCAGACTGAGCCTCAGTTTCCCGATTTATAACATGAAGATAAGACCTGCTTTTTAAGATTGTTGACAAAATAGACTAATAACCGTACATGAGGAACGTAAACTTTTTTCACTACCGCACATATAGGTGCTTGATCAATGTTAGATTTTTACTGTAAGATAATATTGCCATTCAGAAGGTAGGTACAGCCTTCCGTTCTGGAGTCAGATTTAGGCGCTGGGGCTGCTTCAGAAAACAGAAAACAGATCACGTTCCTGCGCCCGTGGAGTTCACATTTTCATTGGGAGACAGACGCACATCCAAGTAAAGACACTGTCAGGCAGTCCTGCCTTCTGTGAGAGCAAAACAAAGCAGGAGGGGGATGGGGAGCCATGCCATTTTCAGTGTCGTGGTAGGAGATACCCAGAAAGTAGCATTTGAGCAGAGAGCCGAAAAAAGAAAGGTGGGAAACCCTAGGGGTCCTTATGGGAGGGATTTCTAGGTAGAGGAAACAGCAAATGCGAAAGGTGAAATGGCAAAGGCTGAGACTCGCTGGGTTTCAGGACCAGCCACCAGGCTTGTGTGGCTGGAGTGAAGGTGGGGGAAGAGCTGGGAATGACGGGAAACGGGTCCTACATCCTGGCCAGGACTTTGGCCTCTAATACGTGGGAGGTGAAAGCCCTGGGAGGAATGTGAGCAGAGGAGGAACATGAGACGTGATCTGACAGCTATTTCATCAGAATCCTCTGGCTCCTCCATTGGGAGCAGACCCTAGGGAGCCAGGATGAGAATATGGGACCACAGGGGAGGATGCTGGGCTAGGTGAGAGACTGGGGTGGCTGGACAAGGACCATGGCAGGGAAGGTGGAGGGAAGTGGTAGGGTTCTGAAGATATTTTAAGGCAGAGCCTGGAGGGATTGGCTGGCTAATGGATTAGCCATGGAATGTGAAAGAAAAGTGAGGCATTGAGGATGACCCCAGAGGTTTTGGCCTCAGTGCCTGGAGATAGGGAATTGCCATCAACTGAGATCCGGGAGACGCAGGAAGGGGGTCAAGAAAGAAAAAAAAAAAACTAGCGATTCCATTTTCATCATATTCAGATGCGGTTGTGTATTGGACATCGAGTTGCACGTCAAGTGGGAAGCTGGGTGTGTTGAAATCAAACAACAAACAGAGACCAAGCTTGCAAATTCCCGGAGCAGAAATAACCAGTTTAGTCCTACAAAGCTAAATTGAGCTTCTTTCGCAAGACTAACCTGATTTGAATCACTTCTTGCTCACGCATCCGGATATCATGAGCAAAACCTGAACTATTTCCCAAGGTAGGCATGAGGTAACCACTGACCAATTTACCATTATTTTTAAAAAATTCTGCTCTGGCTGCTGCAGCCCAGTGGGTTGAGTGCCAGAATGAAAACCAAAGGGTCACCAGTTCCACCCCAGGGAGGGCACATGCCTGGGCTGCAGGCCAGGTCCCTGGTGGGGGGCACGCAACCACATACTGGTGTATCTCTCCCTCCCTTTTTCCCTCCCGCCCCCTCTCTCTAAAACCCACTAATTAATTAAAAAACAAAAAATGTGGGGATTGAGGCTGAGAGGGAAAGTGCTTTCCCAGCCCCAGGCAGTTCCTCTTAAAGGGCCCACTCACAGACTGACTTGGACTCACTCCCTCCAAGCTCCAGCTCTGCGGAAGCAGTTCGAAGAGCCCCAGGGACACAAGGGGAGGAACCGAAATTGTCTGGCTTCACTGCAAGGGCTGGAAGGGCAGGTCCCTCCCAAACAGAAGTTCTGGCAGAGGCCATTGTACCTTTGCTGAGCCCTCTCCACACAGAATGGGCAGGCAGGCGCCATAACTGAGCCTCCATCACTTGGCTCACAGGGTTTACCGGCCCAGCCCTGGTGATTCCCTGAGACTCCTCCCCACCCTTGTGAGCCCACCCAAGCAGTTTCCAGTGGCTTTTCCATACAAATGACTTCCCTTGGCTCATGCTTCCGACTTTCCTAAGATCTCTCAAACGAGCACCATCTGGCCCCAGTACGTCCCGTCCCGTAGCTCTTACGAAGTGGCCCCAGGCCTGGAACGTGGCAGCCAGCCTTGGTTTACAGCTTGGCCTCACCTGGGCACCTCCAGGCCCAGAGCGAGTAGTAGCCAACTGCAGATCCATCTAGTAGATGCAGAGTTCAAAACACCGTTAAAAGGAAGCTCAGCTTAGTGAAAACTTCTAGAGCATAAAAAACAGGGACATGAGCCCTGGCTGGTGTAGCTCAGTGGATTGAGCGCAGGCCTGCGAACCACAAGATCGGCGGTTGAATTCCCAGTCAGGGCACTTCCTGGGTTGCAGGCCAGTTCCCAGCACAGCAGGGGATGCATGAGAAGCAACCACACTGATGTTTCTCCTCTAAAGATAAATAAAATCTTTTTAGAAATCAATTTTTTAATAAACAAATGACAGATTGCATATGAAAAGCAACCAATCGATGTTTCTCTGTCATATCAATGTTTCTCTCCTCTTTCTCCCTCCCTTCCTTTCTCTCTAAAAATCAAAAGTAAAATAAAATACTTGCCCCTGGCTGGTGTGGCTCAGTGGATTGAGCACCGGCCTGCAAAGCAAAGGGTCACTGGTTCAACTCCCAGTCAGGGCACATGCCCCAGCTACAGTCCAGGTCCCCTGTTGGGGGCGTGCAAAAGGCAACTACACGTTGATGTTTCTCTCCCTCTCTCTCTCTCTTCCCCTTTCTCTAAAACTAAGTAAATAAAATCTTTAAAATAAAATAAAAAAATTTTTAAAGATCTGAACAGGTGCAATTCTATAGCAGCCCTGCCTAACAGAACTTTCTATGATGAAGGAAATATTCTGTATCTGCTCCACCCAGTAGGGTCACCACCAGACATGTAGCTACTGAGCCCTTGATCTGTGGCTGCTGCAGCTGAGGACTAAATTTTTCACTTTAATTCATTGGGTTAATTTGAACTTGACTGGTCATGGACAGCTAGTGGTTACCAGACTTGGCACCACAGATCAGCAGAGTTTTCCAGGCAGTGAGCTGCTGGCAGCAGCTTGAGAAAAAGCCCAGCAGTGGGGAAATAACATGGCCCAGAGGGTCTGTATGAGTTTCCTGTGGCTGCTGTAACAAGTTGCCACAATCTTACTGACCTAAAACAACACAAATTTATTCCATTAGAACGTGGAAGGTCAGAAGTCTGAAGCCAAGGCATCAGCGAGCCTGCGTTCTTTCTGGGGCTTTGGAGACAAACCGTTCCCCTGCCTCTTCCAGCTTCTGGAGGCTGCCGGCAACTCCCTGGCTCCCCGCCCCTCCCTCATGTCCCTCTGACGCCCACTTCCATTGCCACACCTCTTGCTGCTGACCCTGAACCTCCTGCCTCCTTCTAAGGAGCACCCTTGTGGAACACTGAGCCCACCAGGATAATCCAGGATTACGTCCCCTTCTCAAGATCCCGAACTCGATCACATCTGCAAAGTCCCTTGTGTCCTGCAAGGCCACGTGTTTGCAAGTTTGGGGATTAGGACGTGGAAGTCTTTGGGGGCCATAATTCCGGCTGCTGCAGGGTCCAAGCACCCAGAATAGGAGTGTGGCCCCCAGTAGAGAGAGGTGTTTAATACCAAGCTCTGGAGCTTGGGTGTTATCTTTCCTTCAAAACTGATCCATAACCTGTCACCTTCTCACCAGCCATGCCGCTGTCACCCTGACTCAAGTCACCATCCCCTCTTGCACCTCACTGCCCTCTCCTCTCCGCCATAGTCAGTTTCCACCAGGGCCCAGAGGGGTCCCATTAAAATCTAAGTCAAATCAGGACCCTCCTCTGCTCGGAATGGGGTTTGCCTGATTCAGAAAACACACACACACACACAAAAAACAAATTTGAATCTCAGATCCACAACAATATTTTAGTTTAACGATGGGTCAAACATTGCATGGGCCTTACTCAGGCTACAAAGATCTTTGTGGTTATGGTATATCTGAAGTTCAAAGTTAATCGGGTGCTTTGTATTTCACCTGGTCTCAGTAGCTCAGGACACCGCCATAGATCCCCAAACACCTTGCTATGGACTAGAAGGCTTTCCAAGTTTGTCCCCCCAAACCAGCCCCGCACCTCTCTCGCTTCCTCTCACACCACTCTCCCTCTTGCTCTCTCTGCTCCATCCACACTGGCCTCTTCATGATCCTTTGGAGTATGCCAAGCACATTCTGCCTCAGGGCCTTTGCATGTGCTGTGCTCTCTGCCTGAAATGCTTTTCTCCAGACTTAAACATGCCTCCTGTCTCCCTTCAGCAGACCTTGCCTCAAATCTCACTTTACCGCAGGGGCACATTCCCTATTTCTTCATTTCTTTGGTTATTGTCTGTCTTCTTCTACAAGAATGTCAGCTTCCCAAGGGCAGGGATTGGTGTCTGTTTTGGTCACTGCTACAGCCCAGTCCCTAGAATAGGGCTTTGCACATAGCAGGTACATAATGAATGTTTGTTGAGTGAATAACGGAATAAATGACAGTATCATCCAGGCCCTGGATCTCCCTGTGCCTGAGGCCAGATTTGCGACATGGGATAGGAGGATGGAAACTGGTTTTCCTCTGGACTATACCTCCATCTCTGAGACCAGGTCGTGGCTGGTGGACTTCTTGCTGACCACGGTTTCATCCTGGCTCCATGAATCCTTTAGGGCCCAGCGACACGTGGCTGGCAACGACCGGCAAAGCTGAGCCCGCCCGAAATACAGGAAGAGCATGGGATTGAGGCAGCTGTGAGCAAGGGCAAGGCCCACAACCAGGGGCTCGGCCCGCAGGGCCCGGGCCAGGAGCGTGGAGTGTGGAGCCGCCGCGGTGAGTACCAGCCTCAGAATGTGGTAGGGGGCCCAGCAGACAAAAAAGCCCACCACAACGGCCGTGACCAGTGGCCAGCAGCGCGGGGCTGCACGGCACAGGAGGGCACTGTGGCAGCCGGCCACGACCACCAGCGGCCCCAGGAAGCCAAAAATAAACCGGGCGGTGGTCACGGTGATCTCAGCCGTGGCCGAGCCGCCATAGTCCACCACGCACTCCAGCCGGGGCGGGAAAAACTCCTGGTGCAGGCGGCGGTGCACGGCTGAGGGCACGGTCAGCAGCAAGGCCAAGGACCAGGCCGCCGCACAGGCCACCTGCACCCGGCACGCCCTCTGGGCCACAGCCCAGCTGGTGGGCCTGAGGGCCAGCAGGCAGAGGTCCGCGCTGAGGGCAGCCAGGAGCAGGACACTGGTGTACATGGACAGCAGGATGACTGAGGGCAGGGCCCGGCAGCCCACTGCCCCGTAGGGCCACTGGCCTCCCTGGGCGAGGGGCACGGACAGGACCGGCAGGGACACACAGCAGAGCAGATCCGCCACGGCCAGGTGAAGGAACCAGGTGGCGCCCACCCTCTGCCGGGCCTCCTTCCAGGTCACCCAGGCCAGCACGGCGTTGCCCGGCACCCCGACCAGGAAGACTGCGGCGTACAGCAAGAGGGAGGCCACGCGGAGCGGCTCCACGGAGACACAGGTGCCGTCATCGCAGTCCACAGGGAAATCCAAAGCATCGCCGTAGTGCCCATACTCGTAGACGAGAGAAGTGTTCTCCATCCTGGCCCCGGATACCTGGACGGGAGGCAAAAGCCAGGAAACCTCAGTGATGAAAACCCTTGGGCCCTGGGGATGCTCCGTGCAGACACTCCAGCCCCTCAGTATTTTAGAAATGGAGGCCCCGGCTAGTGTGGCTCAGTGGACTGAGCGCTGGCCTGCAAACCGCAAGGTCACCAGTGCGAGTCCCAGTCAGGGTACATGCCTTGGTTGTGGGCCAGGTCCCCAGTTGGGAGCATGAGAGAGGCGACTAATTGATGTTTCTCTCCCTCTCTCTCTCTCCATTTCCCTGTCTCTGAAAATACATAAATAAAATATTCTTAAAAAGAAAGACACTGGGAGGCTCTGGCTGGTGTAGCTCAGTGGATTGAGCTCGGGCTTGCGAACCAAACAACCGCGGTTGGATTCCCAGTCAGGGCACAAGCCTGGGTTGCAGGCCAGTTCCCAGCAGGGGACGCAGGAGAGGCAACCACACATTGATATTTCTCTCCCTCTCTCCTTCCCTTCCCCTCTAAAGATAAATAAAATCTCTAAAAAAGAGATTATCATTTAAAAAAAAAAAGACACCGGGATACGACAACATTAGAACCGCAGCGTGTTCGAGTATTGGAATTCTAGAAATACCATTGGTTCTAGCTCGTTGGCATCTTGGAATTCTAGAATATTCCAGCCTAGAACCCCAGTTACAATACTGGAATTCTAGACTGGGAGTGTCAGAACATCAGCTGGGCTCATTCCAAAATTCTAACACGTGACAGTGTTAGAACCCCAGTTTGGGAGTATCGTGGAATTCTGGAATGTTACAATGCCGGGACGCGATCGTGAGTCGAGACCTTGGAATCCAACTCGTGAGACTATCAGAGCCCTGGCCACTGGCCCTTTGGAATTCCAGAGCAGCCCTGCCCGCCCTGGGGAACTGCCCACGCTGGTGGGCATGGTCTGCATCTGTGCCTGCCACTGCGGCCACTGAGCACTTGAAATTGGGCCTGGACAACTGAGAAACTAAACTTGCCCTTGTTCATTAGTTTTCATTAAGTTAAATAGCTACTCGGGGTTAGTGGCTGCCTTACTGGACAATGAAGTTCTGGAACACTGACAGGTTAGAACACGCACCTGTTAGCAACACAGAACTGCAGATTTTAAACTACTGGAATCCCCCTGGCTGGTGTGGCTCAGTGGATTGAGTGTGGGCCTGTGAAGCAAAGGGTCACCAGTTCGATTCCCAGTCAGGGCACATGCCTCGGTTGCAGGCCAGGTCCCCAGCGGAGGACACATGAGAGGCAACCACACACTGATGTTTCTCTTCCACTCTCTCCTTCCCTTCCTCTCTGTCTAAAAATAAATCAATAAATAAAAAATAAAAATAAACTACTGGGATCCCTGGCCAGGTAGCTCAGCCGGTTAGAGCATCCTCACAATATGCCAAGGTTGTGGGTTCAATCCCCCATCAAGGTGCGTACAAGAATCGGCCGATAAATGCACAAATTAGAGAACAACAAACTGAGGTTTCTCTTTCTTGCTCTCTAAGAATCTTAATATCCATCAAGAGAGAGAAAGTTTGATATGTATTCACAGCACAAGTATATGGCTTGATTCTTTTCTTTAAAATTTCCATTTATTTCTTTCTAGAGGTGGGAATGGGGGGTGGAAAGAAAGGGGAAGAAACATTGATCGGTTGCTTCTCCCAAGCCCCCAACTGGGGACCTGGCCAGCAGCCCAGGCCTGTGCCCTGCCCAGGGACCAAACTGGAGACTTTTAGGTTAGCAGGCCAGCACTCAACCCACTGAGCCACACCGGCCAGGGCTTACTTGGTTCTTTTGAATCTTGGTGCAACGGAAACAAAACTCTGTAGCAATTTTCTCATCTTTTTAAAAACCTGTGTGTGCTAGAATGCAGGACTTTATCTTTTATTCGCGTGAAACGGGAGGGATGGGAGGGTACCGGGCAGAGAAGCGACTCGATTGATCGCAGCAGTAACTATTGTTGTCGGTGTGATTATTAATATATTTTTACCCTCACCCGAACACATCCTTTCTTCATTGCTTTTAGAGCGAGAGGAAGGGAGAGAGAGATAGAGAGAGAGAGAGAGAGAGAAACCGAGAAGTTGCCTTCCTGTACACATCCCAACTGGGGAATCGAACCCACAGCCCATGTATGTGCCCTGACTGGAAATCGAACCTTCGAACTTTGGTGCATGGGACGACGCTCCGACCAACCGCGCCACATCAGCCAGGGCTGACTATGAATATTATTATTAGAAGCCATCATTTATGAAGTCCTCCGCGTTACGTGCTGGGCACTGCTCCAAACACCTTTAAATATCTTATAGTATCTAATCCTTGTAACAACCCCCTGATCTTAACACCATTGCTATAGCCCACTCTGCAGACCAGGAAACTGAGGCACAGTGAAGTTAAGTAACTTACCTACGATCGCTCAGCTAAGCAAGTAACAGATCTGAGTTTCGAACTATGTTAGCCTTAGGTACAGCTCCAGGCCCTAGAATATGATCATCCAAAAAAATCTTAGATCCGGGAGACAGTGCAGCCAGGGGCGCTGAGCCCCCCACCAGGTTCTGTGACTTGATTTCGGTTTAGCTTGTCTTGCTCTTGATTTCCTTGTCTGAGAACTGACAGCCACCCAGGTGAACCTTGGCCCTCGCCAGTTTGGGGAGGGCCTTGGCACAGAGCTGGGGCTCAGGAGAGGAAGGCGAGTCAGAACCGCCCAACCCCAAGGCTCTGCGGACTCCAGAGGCCGGCTTCGCCCCGCCCCCCCCCCCCCCCCCGCAGAGCTCCGGCCAGGGTTGCTGGGCAACAGGAAAGGCAGAGGGGAAGTTGGGGCAACGGCCTCTCCCCTACTGGCTTGGACACTGGCTTGGACACTGGCTTGGGGTGGATTCAAAGCTAAGTAGCCCCTTTGTGTGTATCTGTCTGAAGTCTGGCACTCTGTTTTCATATTATTTTTATTTATGTATTCATTTTTAATATTTTATTTATTTATTTTTAGGGAGAGGGGAAGGGAAGGAGAAAGAGTGGGAGAGAAACATCAATGTGTGGTTGCCTCTCATGTGCCCCCTACTGGGGACCTGGCCTGCAACCCAGGCATGTGCCCTGACTAGGAATCGAACCCATGACCCTTTGCTTCACAGGCCCGTGCTCAATCCACTGAGCTACACCAGCCAAGGCTATTTATTTATTTTTAATGTAGTGACTTGAGAAAGAGAGAGAGAGAAGCATCCATTTGTTGCTCCAGTTACGCACTCACTGGTTGCTTCTTGCAGGCGCCCTGACCAGAGGGGATCAGACCTCCAATCTTGGGGTATCGGGAGGATGCTAAAACCGAGTATCCAGCCAGGGCTGTTTTCGTATTATTCTCATCACTAGAGTGAAAATGTGCGAGGGCTTTAAAAATTCAAACCCTGCCCTGCAGCTGGTAAGGCTCAGTGGCTTGAGTGGCGGTGCCCTGTGAACTGCAAGGTCGCACCTTCCATTCCCAGTCAGGGCACGTGCCTGGATTGCGGGCCAGGTCCCCCAGTGCGGGCATGTGATCGGCAGCCTAGGGATCCGATGCTTTGTCAACATTTCTCTCCCTCATGGTGAGCATTAGTCATCAGAGTGTCAGAATCTGTCACCACGGCCTGCTCTCTGGGTGTGTCCTCTCTCCCCACTTTCCCCAGGTCTCAGCAATTAAAATTCGGGAACTACACTGGCTGGTGTAGCTCACTGGATTGAGTGCAGGCCTGCAAACCAAACAACCGCAGTTCGACTCCCAGTCAGGGTATATGCCTGGGTTGCAGGCCAGTTCCCAGCAGGGGCCACGTGAGAAGCAACCATACATTGATATTTCTCTCTCTCTCCTTCCCTTCCCCTCTAAAGTTAAATAAGTAAAATAAAAAAAACTATTTAAAAAATTCAGTTCAAGCCAGGCGGCCTCTGGCTGTTCTTTCCCTCTTCATATCTCAGACAGAAATGGGGACATCCCACACCCCCCGCGTCTTCCCTTCACCTCGTCCGCTCCGCACATCTTACGTTTGCTTCCCTCCCGTGCACGCCCCGCCCCCTGCCATCACGCCGGCTTCAAAATCGGCCCACATTCCCGGTGTGTCCTCCTTACGCACCGGCCTAAGACTAAAGGTCCCTTAATGATCATCGATGAGCCGCATTATTATTTTATACAATAAATTCTATCTGCAAAACATCTCAATCGTAACTACCGTGATTCGTATTTTATAACGACTTAAATAATAGATGACACGTACGGAGCACCCATTATGTGACGGGGGCAACCTGTATAATGACCCTGTGGAATAAGTGCCCACTGTGACCGTCCGGTCCCAGAATGGCAGGGTTGGGGCTGTCCTCCCCGCTTCCCAGAGACTCAGCTCTGCCCTGCTGTGTCAGGCATCGGGCACACAGCGGGTGCGTAGTTGATAATTGGCGAGTAAAAGAATGGAGAGGGAAACTGAGGCACAGAGACCCCCCAAGGGGTCACTCGGCTTTCTATCCGATCCTCACGGAGAAAGAGCTCGCGGCTGTTTGTCTGTCAGCCGGTCTGGCTGGAGCCGCTGCTCTGGGAAACCACGGGGCACAAACCGCCAAAGCTGGACGCACAAGAGAGACCGAAACACGCGCCCTGGGACGTTCGGCGGCCCCAGGCGGGGAAGCACCCCGGTGCTCACCCGCGGGAGCAGGAATAAACGCACCACGGGCTATGCACGCTGTGGAATGCTGTGTGGCCCTGAGAACCAACGTGGACGCGCGTCCTGTGGAGGGGAGAGAGCCAGACGCACGGGAGAACTGACTGGATGATCCCATTCACGGAAAGTTCAAAAAAGGGTGAGGGAGCCCTGACCGGTGTGACTCAGTGGGTTGGGCATCATCCCGCAAAGCAAGAGGTCGTGGGTTCAATACCCCGTGAGGGCACTGGCCTGGGTTCTGGGTGTGGTCCCTCACCGGGACATGTATGAGGCAACCGACTGATGTTTCTCTCTCACATTGATGTTCCTCTCCCTCACTTTCTCCCTTCCTTCCCCTTTCTCTCTAAAAAAAAACAAAAACAAAAAAAACCCACTTTTTTTTTATGAGCAAGAGAATTCTATGGGGGAGGGGGTAGTGACAGGAGTTGAGGACCACAGGAGACTCTAGGACCGGGGTCCTGCTATTTCTTAACCCCGGGTGCCAGCTACCTGGGGACACACAGAGCTGCCGGTCCCAACGTGTGTGGTTTTCTGTGTATGTGACACAGGAAAAGTTAAAGGGCCTTTCTTAAGTTGAAGGGCTGGTTCACGGGGCCATTTGGTGGCTTCTCCAGCTGGTGCAGGTTTGAGAGGGACTGTCCCCTGGACCCCTGAATGTGCCCCCCCCATTTGGGTCCTTTGCCACACTCTTCTGCTGGGCCGGCCAAGTCTAACTAAGGGACTGGGGTTCCGACGTGCATGCCAGTGATAGCGATTAAGATTCCATTGCTCAAATTCAAGTTCTGATGCCCAGATTCTGAAAAGAATCCATCTCCTAAACTGAGACTGTGAAATACCCGCCCGCCTTCCTTTTTTCTCCTTCCCTCCATCCTTACCGTCTCTTGCAGGAGGGTCTCCAGTTTAACCAAAGTGTCACCTGGGTGCTGGGGTCTCTCCGGAGTGTCTGGCGCCTGGTGGCTTCCTGGGAGTGTGTCCCTTTGGCCAGGACTCCTACAGGACATGGTAAATCTTCAGAACCGGGAAAAACAGGAGTGTCCTCTCCCACAGTGTGTTTGTCCTGTGTGACTCACACGTCCCCAAATTACTGGGCAGCAGATGAGGTCGGAGAGGGCTGGGCGGCCCGAGAGTGGACAGTGTCCTCAACCCCAGTCGGTGTCACCGGCTTCCCGGAAGCCAGACCTGCATCTCTGAGGCTTGGAGGTGTTGGCTGTCCCCACAAGGCCATCGGAGGTCTTCTGCACCAACCCCCAGCCTCTGAGTTCACGCCCTTCCTGTCTGCCCTGCACAGAGCCCCGAGGACACATAAGTGTTTGTCTTTACTCTCTTGTTCTGAGGGATAGTTCAGGGCCCTGTCTGTTAGGCATTGTGGATGGCAAACCAAGGCAGGGAAGGGGAGGAAGACGTGTCTCGCCCGTGAATTCAGCAGTCCTGGGCCTGGGCCACTAAGATGGCCATGGGTTCCGACGTCACAGAAACTCGGCGATAGCGCAGGCGGAGGGAGCCCTTGAAATGCTGCCTGCATCGTTCCCACCAGCGAGGGGAGAACACCTTCGACCCTGTGCATTCGCCCCAAAGTCTGGAGCGGGGAAGAGGAGGGGCAACCTAGAAGCTGGCTGCAAGCATAAAACCCCTGAAGCCCCAATAATGGGTCACTCACACTGGCCAGCTGCCTGCTTGCAGCTTCAAGCTCCAGTGTGTGTTCCATAAATAAACTTGTTGTCTCATTTCCACTATACGTATTGTCTCTCACCTGAATTCTTCTCTTGCAAGCAAGGCAAGAACTGAAGAGGGGGAATCCCCCTTACTCGGGTCTCCCCGGTAACGATGACCTCCAGAAAGAAAGCCAAGACTGCTGATTATAGAGTCCAAGTCCTCAGAGCCAGACAGAGCACAGCTAAGTCTTGTCTCCTCTGTGGGCCTCAGTCTTCCAACTTTGAAACCGGAAGATGTTGCCCTGGCCGGGTGGCTCAGCTGTTTGGAGGTTGCAGGTTTGATCCCCAGTCGGAGCACATACCTAGGTTTTGGGTTCTATCCCCGGCGGAGGCAGGTTCAAGAGGCAAGCGATCGATGTCTCTCTCACATCCATATTTCTCTCTCTCTCTCCCTTTCCCACTTGTCTCTCTAAAATCAGTAAACATATTCTTGGCTGGGGATTAAGATACAAGTAAACTGCAGACACACCTACTTCTCTCCACTGCTGAGTACCTAATAGTAACAATGAATACGTTCAGCACCAAGAGAGGGAATTCGGGGGACATGACAAAATGAGGGTCTCCACCCGGGCCAGTGGGTGCCCCCTGAGGGGACTGGGAAAAGGTCACTCTGATGTTGCAAAGGTACGTTGCAAAAAGCCAACAGACTGGCTTGCTTAAGGCAAAGACTGACCTTTGTCAAGGAACCTACCGGCCCAAGACATGAGTCTCACCCCAGAGGGGCTTTTAGTTAGGAATTTCTACCCTCGGGCCATCCTAGGTGGTTTCTTCCAGTCTCTGAGTTTGTACCGCCCCCACGCAGGCCCCCAAGGGCTGGTTAGGGTGAGGACCGACCCCAGGGTGGTCACAGTGCTTCGGAGGCTGAGGGCACAAGTTGATACATTTCTCTGGCTGTTGGGAGAATAAGAGCAGGCTGTTGGAGGAAGCTCTTTCTGACACAGGAGACTGGAAGTTGCTAGGTGACCTGGGGCGTTTCCAAGTCTTTCTCTGGGGGACCCTGTCCTGGCTGAGCCCGGGCCCCAAGACCCCCTGTGGAGACAACCATGCCCTCTCCCCCCCTTCCACGCCCACCCCCCTCCAGGAGGCCTCTTCTGTGGGAACCCTCTTTGGTCAGAAAAAGATAAGAATGGAAGAAGCTGAGGGGGAGGTCCCAGGGAACTTTTATCAGCTCAGACTTCCTTTGATCTGGTAAACTTAAAGATTGTTTACAGATTATTTGACCTCTTTTATTTTTTTGAAGATTTTATTTATTTATCTTTAGATAAGAAGGGAAGGGAGGGGGAAAGAGAGGGAGAGGAAC